GGCTCGGACCGCCGTGCCTCAACAGAATCGCTCCGTCACGATTTCACCCAAAAAAGGGATGACGAGGATGAATCATCTCGCGCACTCACACGCGTGATTTCCTCCCAGCTGGTGTGGCTGCCCAGGCACGAGACACCACGACGACGGTGATGACGGTGATGACGCGCATCTCATGTGAGCTCACACCTGACGGAGCCTGCAGCACGCCTTGCTTCAATCGCGCACAAGCAGCACGTCGCCATTGAAGCAGACCGCGGCATGTTGTGTCACGCGCAGCCCTCTTTGTCAGTCCACTGCTGGATGAGGGCCTCCTCAAGCCGTGTGGAAGCGTGGGGATTGTATTTGAACACAGTTCAGCGTGCTGGTCAGCTTGCTGCTCATTGCTGTTTGGTGAAGGTGGGGAGCGTAAATGTGGCAGACATGGAAGTACATGACAGTGATTTTTCTGCACTACCCTCTCCTGCCCACCGTCATAGTCCCGCACGTAGCCTAGAGCACCTGTTATGCACGGCAGTCACCCACTACCTCGGCTCAACACTACCTAGCGACTGAGAATTGGCCATATTGTCAAAGGGCGATGGAAAACAGCAATTTCTGAAGAGGGGGTCGATGCCGCTTCAGTCTCCTGCCTTAAAATGTCCCGCAATAAACAACTCCGGTCCCTGGGGGAAGCAAAATTACAATCAGCCAGATGCCCTGCGGCGCTGTCAGCCGGCGCGATTATAAACGACAGCACCCCCCAACCTTCCACTCCGCAGTCACCTCGTAGACTCCCTCCCCCCCACCCACCCAGCTCGTCCCTGGTCGAGTGCTCGCGGGAGCTAAATGGGTGGAGGGGGGCGAAGATTACAGAGGCGGTTGAGGGAGACGGTCCTGTCCGCTGTGTTGAGCGTGGCGCTTGCAGGCGGCTGCGTACACCTGTGTACACCTGTGTACACCTGTGTCCGTGCAGGTAAAAGCGGCAAACACCGTCAAAGCACATCACACCTCCATCACTTGTTCATCAGTGTGATTGCACATTCGCACGGCAGGGACCGGTCTCTCTTTCGGGCACGACGACGACGGTTGATTTCTCACCGGGAGGAACCGGCCAAATTCTGCGGTGCAACGGCGAGCAAACTGCACAATGCAGAGGTCGCCGGTTCGATCTCCATCGCCGGCTCACGGCAGTTGAAGCAACGGTGCAAGTTTATTAAATCCCTCCGTATCTGTCCACCCAGCAGTATAAATGGCTCGCCACAGTTGATCGGCAGTTCGGCTGTGGTGGCAGTAATGTGTGGGTACTCCCACGTCTTGCAAGACGTCTGATCTAGCATGGAAAGAGTAGGCCAAATACCCTCTGATAGGTGTTGCCTTAGGGCTCGTTCTAATGGGGCCCCTTGTGCCAGCAGTGACTCGAGCGTGACATTGCGGGGCTGCACCTTTACCTTCACCAAAGCCTTCATACTGCAAGAGAGCGTCGGTGCATGTGTGGTGATCTTCACGGAGGCACACACTTGACTTGGAGGCAACACGTTTATTACAACACCCCAACCGGGTAACACAATAAACGTACTGAATATCAACAGAGGTGATAGCCACTTGAGTATTAACTAAGCCACCACGGGGCAACTACATAACCGGGTCAGTCAGAAACATTCTGAATGACCCAGGATGCCGAGCGAAGACCAGATCGGAGAGACGTGGCGCCGAGGGTTGATTCCAGAGGACAGCCCCGAGGGGGGCTCGGGACTCGGCCTTCATCGGCTCCGCCCTTGGCCACGCCCCCTTCTAGATCCTTCCCGAAGACTCTGGCCCCTAAATCACGTGTCCCTCTCTCCCCCTTTTGGGCCCCTCTTACCACCTCGTCCGATCACGTGCCCAATCGGGGTCACCCAGACTGTCACGTGCTCACCCGACCTCTCTCTTGCTGTCACCAGGACTATGCCCCCTAGGGCCCCCTTCCATGGCATACCCACTCTGGTGCCAGAGAGAGGCCCAAGACCCACAGTTCCACTCTCGTGACGGTAGCTGGCGCTAACCGCCATAGTGACCCCATTAATGTCACTACAGATGCACACATAACACATTCATATGATGGGCTTAATTGATAGCCAAAAGTATTTCCGAACGTTCACAGCCGTTCGGTAATTTGCTGCGAGAAGTGTGGCTCTTTAATTCCGGAGTGGGATTTACCAAGGGCGGCTCTCCGACGTGCCCTGCGCAAAGCGGGCTAGAGTGCTAGACCATAGCGGGCTAGAGTGATAGACCACAGCGGGCTAGAGTGCTGGACCATTGCCTGACTGGCAATGGTCTAGCCCAGTGGCCTTCACTCATTTTCAGAGGAGGGTGGTAGGGGGGCACTTTCGCCGATAAGACATCACCAGTGTGAGTGGGGCCGCCACATATTTGAAACCATTGGGGGTTTGACAGCAGCAGCAGCGTAATGATGATGATGGGGCGGTGTTGTCACGTGTTGTGTATTGTCGGGGGCTGCGACACAGGTCACCACACTGCTCTATCTCGCTACAAATTACCCTCAACAAAGCCGTATCCATTGCCCTTGTTTATACCTGATCGTACGGTAATTACGGTACGTTATTTTAAATGTACATCTCCAGATTGGAGCTACACATCAACGGGATTATTGTGCGATGTATTGAACAATCCCTTCATAATTATTTTTCGATGTAGCTCCTTTCACACTGTGGCATTCGCAGTTTGCTTTATACACCATAAGCGATTCACGTTTAATCTCAAACAATTGAAAGGGCATCCCCAGAAGGGAAATCAGCTAGCACAGTCGGAACTCGGCTCCAGGAATTACTTTGGCACGCAAGATCCATGCCACCTAATTTTTGTTTGCGGTCATTAGATGACATCACTGTCACACAGATGACGGATAGGTGGTAACCTGTACCCGAGTGCCTTACACCGACATCGAGTGAGAAATGGATCTGTGTGTGTAAAGACGTCTTGTAAACAACAAGAGTTCCCCAAGATACGCGCATTTAACGAGTAATTGACTCGACGCGTTTCGTGCATTTGCGCCGCACAATGCGGATTCGTCGCTCATCCGAAAGGGAGCAGCTTCATCAATTTCAGACGCACCTCGTTTCTAACGCGATTTGATCATCATCTTCCTACTCATCTCCTGAACAGAAGGTCGACGTCATTGCCCTGTCGTTTCGGATTTGTGTTTCTATTACCGTGTCGGTGTTTCATTATTGCGTGTCTATCTCAGACGCGTGCGCGTCACGTGGGCTTGCCCCTTGTGCCTCGCTTGACAATAACGAGGTTCGGGAATATTTAATCCGCGAAATTAATTAAATCCATTTGGTGATTTGGACAGCGAGCTGCTGCTGCTGCTGGGGAGATGAGCCCGATGCGGTTACGGGGAAGCAAAGGTGACGCGGCTCGCACACAGCACGAGAATACATCCACAATAACAACAACAATAACACAACAACAACAACCTACGTTCATAATGAACCCATAACGTAACAGACCGTGTCCCAAGAGTCAATTGGCATTATTTAAACAAAGACAATCTAATTGCAAAATGCCTTAACTCGTGATGATGTTATTGTAGAAACAGCAATATAGTTCTTCTTGGTTCTTTCGGTAAAGTTACGTAGAAGGGAAATAATAAAATAATACAAATAAAACATAATAAAATAAAATTCTCACGACGTTTCGGCCACAACGCAAGCAGCCGTCCTCAGTTGAAGAACACAACAGCCCAACAGCCCTGTTCTTCCCCTGAGGATGGCTGCTTGCGTTGTGGCCGAAACGTCCCTTCTACGTGACTTTACCGAAAGAACCAAGAAGATGAATCCCTGCAGTCACGAAAGCATTACATAATAAAATAAAAGCAATATAGTTTTATTGGGTATAGTGCACCCTTAAATGCGCCACAACCAAGCAGGCCATAAAGTATAAAGTAGATGAAGCTTCGCTTGACAAAATGAACAACGGTTCTCTTTGAAGTCTCAATCAATTTGACAGCCTCTTTCATCGAGCACAGGTGAATGGAGGTGGGTTTACGCGGCACTTAGCAGCACCCATTAGCAAACTGACAATTTACATCAAAGCGTCGATACCAACAGTGATGCTGGTTTCCTGTTGAGACTGTAGTTAAAGACAAACTCCGGTCAGGTGTCCTAGAGAGGCTTCATAGAGTGTCAGGCACCACACACTGGCACCTGTGTCCCCCCTGTGCGCGCGCTGACGCAGACTCAACAGATCAAACTGCGGCATGAAAGCTGCCGAAATGTGTCGCGGTGGTCTCCGCGAGTGAGACGAATTGACAAAGTGCGGCTCAGTTTAAAGTCCCCAACAGAATTACAGCATCCCTATGCCACGGGTCATTCACCAAATAAACAACATACTGCCACGATACCGAGCGATGTTGTAAAACAAACGGAAAGAGAGAAGTGATAGCTTGTTTCCTTATCATATCGCATCGCTTGCATGGCTGTAAAGAGAGTCCCAATTCCAAGGCGTCCCAGTGACTCAGTGTCAACAGCTGAGACAGAAATCATGGCCAGAAGCCATTCCAGTTCATGGTACAGAGCCGAGGCTGCCATGGACAGGACCTAAGTGTCCCCTCCCTGTCCTCCGTCTCCATCGGTGGCCAGAGCCACGCTGCCTTGTTGCCTTTTCACCGCCAGACATCGCGATGGCTGAATAATCCCTAACAAGCGCGTCGCGCCGCGTGAATGTTAATCTTCAATGAGGCTATCGAATGAGTAAACACTTCGGCTGCGGCACCTGTGCCACACCAAATCCGCGTTTCATTTGGTTTTCCTCTTTTTTCTCACGAGCTGCTTTTCCTCGAAAGTAGAATTCCATTCGACACAAACCACACGACGTTCCCTTGCCATTCGGGAGCCCGGCCGCAGCGTCAGTCTAGACACGACTTGGAAGACAGAGAAGCAGCCCTTTGGTCGGCTACAATTCGATGCGAAGAGAGCAGAGAGAGAGCGAGAGCGAACGTCTGGGCAACGTTGCCGACTCACCACCGATCATCCGCCGCGCGCCCGACGGGATGCGAGGAGTGCGGAGCCGCCTGCGACCCGGGCGCCTTCGGGTGGCGTCCGCCGTGTCCCGCCGACCCCCCGGACGAGCGCTCCCCCAGCCGAGACAGACAGACAGAGAGAGGGACAGACAGAGACAGACAGAGAGAGGGACAGACAGACAGAGAGAGAGACGCCTCCTGTGCCCGGGTGGCTCTTCCCTCGCGGTGACATCACGCGCCGGGCTGGGCCACGACGCCCAAGGGGGCGGGGGGACGGCGATCGCTCTCAACTCGCAGCCCGGTGAGCAATGCGTGGTGTGTGTATGGTGTGTGTGGTGTGTGTGGTGTGTGTGGGGTGTGAGGTGTGTGGTGTGTCTGGTGTGGTGTGTTGTGTAGTGTGTGGTGTGTGTGGGGTGTGTGGTGTGTGTGTGGTGTGTGTGGGGTGTGTGTGGTGTGTGTGGTGTGTGTGTGGTGTGTGTGGAGTGTGTGTAGTGTGTGTGGTGTGTGTGATGTGTGTGTGGGGTGTGGGGTGTGTGTGGTGTGTGTGATGTGTGTGGGGTGTGGGTGTGTGGGGTGTGTGGTGTGTGTAGTGTGTGTGGGGTGTGGGGTGTGTGTGGGGTTTGTGGGGTGTGGGGTGTGTGCGTACCCGTGTGTGTTCCTGCAGCCTTTACAAGCGAGATGCTTTCGAGAGTCGGCAGAGGCAAACTTGCAGCTCTGCCGTCCTTGTCTCAAGCGGCTACCGACTGACACCGCTGCGTAGACAAAGGCATGAGTGGAGATTCAAGAAACTTGTCCGAGGTTTCCACTCGTGGCACCGGGAGATCCAACAGGCGCGGCAACGTTGAACCATTACACCGGGGGGCGGTGGTTGATTCCGTGGTGTAATCGTTGCTTTTTGAAAGTGACTGTCTCTTTCTCTCCACAATATCAAAATGTCCCTTCTTTCTGTACAGCGGCCACATTTAGATGTAATGTTAATCGAAAAAGTAGTGTGCACAGTAATGAAACTTGGCATGCATGCGAGGGACATGAAAGTCAAAAGGCTTTAAAGACAGCGCCTCGTCAATGACCTCACTCACTTCCTGTTGACACATGAAGCCCGACCAGTCAACAACAACAACAACATCTCTGAGCTGCACACAAAGCGCCCGCCGCTTAGAATGCCACCGGATACATCAAAACACATCCCACGGGCAGCCACGCCAGCTTGAGCATAGGACATTGTGTTTGAACATTTTAACCAGCGTCACCATCAGCCACGATCTGTCTTCACAAGCCATGATCCTGCAGATGAATATAATATTCCGAGCACCTTCACACCAACCGACTCGGCTCCATCTCCTCAGTGAACGTGCTCACGTGTTCATTGTGTCAGTTACAAATGTTTTTGGCCATTCTTGTTCCATTGTGATAATGTCAATACAATTATAATAACCGCTAGCCTCTGTATTAATTCCTCTTTCCATGCATAAAAAATGAAGTTCAATTAAAAAAATATATAATTAAATCACAAAAAAATAAACATCTTGTTTTTATTTTTACTTAAAGCTTTCGTGACTGCAGGAATTCCTATTTATATATCATATATATCTACGTGGCTTTACCGAAAGACCCAAAGAATATCTTGTTTTTAGTTTTGCAACGTCATATTTTAAACCAGAATGTAAATGCCAATGACAGTGCTTTCCCTCCTCCGTGCAGGGCAGCCACAACCTCGTAGCGTCACCGTGTTGAGAGGGGGGCGCCTTGGATGTTCAACAGAAATCCGCCGTTGTCTCTCGTGCGTTCAGCTCTCGCGCTCACCCTGCCTACACCATCACAGCCCTCGACGCCCATTACTTCACTGTACCCATTTTTAGTACAGAATTGTTTAGCTTTGAAGGAGGGTTGACGGGGCTTCAGCCCCCCCCCCATCTCTTGCTGTGCAGCACAGACGCCTCGTGAACTTGAAGCATGGGCAGCAGCTCTTATTTGAGCCACGTGAGGAGACACGTAAGGTGAAGCCTGGCCTCGGGTGTTCATAAATCAGCAACGATAGCTCCTTGTCCACCACCACCACCGCCCAATGACGGAATGCGATGCGTAGAAGGGCGACATTGTTCGTAAGTGGATTGCCAAACGTCAACTGCTGTCATCTAATAATTACACATATAACTCGAAGAATAACCAGAAATTCATCAAAAAACTTTGCGAGCAGATCACCGACAATGGCAACTAAACCAAGGACTGGGCCTCAAAGATATGGACCGGGATGCTCTAGCCTGCCGATACAATTCCGAATAAATTTCAAGAGCGCACTCTCCGTCTTCACATTCGTCCATTCTCTGTTGAAGCCCCCAGTCAACATTCTCTCCGTGGGGGAGGGGTGCTCAATCTTCTCAAACGAGAGGACGTGTCACGTGAAGCCTGCCTCGGGTGCTCCTGAATCAGCAACATTTCTTTAATGTGCGCCACCACCCAACACATTCATGTCCTCGCAGCGGAGTTTGGCTAACTATGGAACAAAGACGGCCACTGCATCGTGCGCTTTCAGATGCGCTTCTGCGACCGTCTGGAACATTCTTTCTTCCGATGTTAGGAAACCACTGGAGCTATGCACTTTTAAATCTATATTAAAAAAAAATCAGATATTGCAATTTATATTATCTGTGGTTGGAATTAAACTGTGTGTGGTGTGTGTGGTGTGTGTGTTGTGTAGTGTGTGGTGTGTGTGTGGTGCATTGTTTAATTTATTACGAGGAATTATGGGTAACATGTGACAGGCCTGACGGTGAATTTCCATTACATTATGGTCCCAGCACATATTAAGACAATTCAAATACACATACAAAGCGTTCTTCCCAGAACCCTTCACGTAAGTGTCCACTCTCCACTCACCTCCAGACAATTCCCTTCTTTAGGGCCCGACCGGCCAGAACTTGAAGGTAACTTCACGTAACTGGACAGTGAGGGCCTTTGTGCGACACGTAGATAGGGTACCCTCCACTAGAGGGGCGTCGACGTTTAGACCTCTACCGGTGGGACCGAGGACGGCTCGGGCTTCATGTGCAAGTCTCGATCAAAACTCAGAGCCCCGCACCCCGGATCCACACCGCGTTGTATCCCCTCGTCTCAACCCCGCCGTATTGCCCGCGCCTTTCACGCTACCCCCTGTCTCCACCACCACCACCACCCCTTTACTGATGCCATCCTTTCAGATCCTAAAAAAAAAACCCATGCACCTCCCAGCGGCTCCAAACTTGGCCACACCTGGACCACTACATCTATGTCCATATGCAGTCATGCCCAAATAAACGTGAAATATGAATTCTTATTGAGGCGGAAGAAATGCCAACACTTCTCGAGAGAATGTACACGTGAGTGCCACGTGAGAAGGGGTGCAATTACGTTTCTTGCGTTCGGGACAGCGTCGGCAGTCGCGGTATGGACGGCAAGCAGACTGGGTTGTTGTTGATTTTCCAGTTTCTTTATTTAAATCATTAATTGTTACCGACCATCATGCGTACTATTGTATTTTAACTACACAACACAGTAAGGTGCCTGGTGAGAAAATAGACAACCCTTCAGAGTGAGACATTAATATGCAGGAGAGATGTTTTATTGCAACAGGACCAACGTTTCAAACTCATAAAACCAAAATGTCACGAGGTTGACAAAGTCATAAGATGTGTGCTGAGACAATGACGCAGGGTTAAGCACGCTGCAGAACACCTGGCCAGGTGACTCAGGGGTAAAGCGAGCGGCTCGCCATCAGAAAGTTGCAAATTCAAATCTTGGGTGGTGGTTGACTCTGCCTATCATCTCTCCCCCTGGGGCAGACAAAATAGGTACCACATTGTAGACGAGCCAAGAGTGGTTTTCCTATGGAGAGACTCGCCCCTGTCATAGGAATGTGGGATTTACACCATATGCTCTACAGGGCTGCAAACGGAACATCAGCATCAGCTCGATGCTCATTGAGCAAAATACACTCTGACGTTTTTGACACAGAATAAAACTTGATCCTGAATACACACCTGGAATTGCTAATAATTCTGCATCATATCCTTGTCGCAAATGATACCTGGATTTGTCACTGGCTAAATGTGGGGACAAGTCGCGAAACTCTGGTGACAACATTTTTGAGTTGGTGACATTAAACAGGCCTTGTGTCATTTTGAGGTAATCGTGGAGCATTGGAACAAAATTGTACTTTCCAACATTGTGTGGGTTTGCAAAATGTTAAAACATAAAGTTTTATGGATTGCTGAAATACACTTTATTGTGAATATAACTCCGCTGTATATAAATGATAAAAACAATTACAAATATCGTATTTCTTCATCATGGTGCACAAGACGTGTGCCTATAAAGTAAGCCTCTGCCCTTCACGACTTGACAAGAAACCCCAAATAACGATGACTCTTCGATAAACTTCAACAGGTGACATCGTGCAGCAATTGCGTACGCAGTTCACAGGACCGTGCGTCTCTACAAGTGACACCACCAACTGTCGCCAGCAGAGGGCAGATGTAAGAAAAGCCATCCAGTCCCTCATGGCATCAACAACAGTGATGTGTCTCCTATATTATCTAATGCTCTCTCTTGGCCTCACGTGGGCGAAGTCTTTTTAACATAGAAACACTGACGATCGATCGACTAGAACTTGTTATCGACTTTTAGTAGTTTATTAATTGCCACCTTTAAAATGAAGACAGGAAACTCCCTACAAGCCACGCCCATCATTATGCGGCTGATGATGATCCTGGTGACTCCCACCCATCACCTCCAGTCCAGCGGCACAATGTGAGAACACAGATGACACTCCCCCCCGCCCCCCGAATATTTTCTCAACAGTAATTAATTGAACCATTAGATTCAATAATTAATGGCTTCAACAATCGTGTAGCTCAGCTCTACTTCTTTCTGATTGGCTCGAGGTGCAGGCCCTCAGGCCGGACCTGAGTGCAGGCGACCTATAGCTTGGTCCACTCCTCGTCGGGCTCCACCTCCTCAATGACCCGCCTGAAATCTTCCTGCAGCTTCTTATCCTCGTCCGTGACGACCTCCGCGGGCAAATCCTTCTTGAAGACGATGCCTCCAAACGCCTCGAGGAAGTAAGGCTCGGCGGCGAGCAACTCCTGTGCCCAGGCGTCGGCGGAGATCCCGGGCGCCGTGCCCCCGTACTCCGCTGGCAGGATGTCGGGAGAGATTTGTTTGTGCAGCGACAGGAAGTTCGTGCCGTGGAACATCATCTGCAAAAAAGAATTATTTTTAAAAACGACCGCTTAGGTACGGCTGGAAGGTTCAAGGTTGACAACTTTATTATTCACATTTTACCCAGGTGATGGTGGACCCGCACGCGCCTGCAATGCAGCACCGTGGAGGCAGTGATAGTTGGTGGATCGTACAGATGTTCTGAAATGCCCGTCGAGGTGCCATACCCTGGCTTTCCAGGAGGCATTACAGAAACAATGTGGACTCCAATCTGTTCTACCTATTATCAGATAGTGTTTCCCCCTTGCACGCGTGAGTTTTCTTCCGGCTCTCCCATATCCTCCCACGTGTAAACACGCGTGACTTGGCCAATAACACCTTAATAAATAGAGGACCACAGAGCTTGGATGGGAGTTTGGCACCAGCTGACTGCGTGGCTGCCTTTCCTACTTATCTGTTGTTCCTTGGGCCTTTGAGTTGTTCTCTCTATACGAGAGTGAGCAAAGATGGTGTGGCGCATTAGAAGTTGAAATTATGATTATTAAGACGCTCTGGAAAGTAAGATGCATCCCAAACTGGTGCCCGGTGTCAATACAGTTATACAAATATGGTCGCACAAGAAAGTGCATTTTAGAACCCAAATAATATTGTAGTCATAGCTAGTCAGAAAGACTGAGCCAGCTAACGCTGCTGAGGTGCTGAGTTTAAATGAGATTTATGTGCCTAGTGGAGTGAATTGATCTCAGCCCAGTCACCGATAACCCTACATATAAACGCATAGTGTTACATTTTGTGTTTCACTGGGTTTGGATTATTTCAATTTTGAGAATTTGAAAACATACGAGGCTTGATTGACAATGCTAATATGTTCTTTGGTTTTTTCGGTAAAGTCACGTATAAAAATAAAATAATAAATTAAATAATAGCATACGACGTTTCGATTGCAACACAAGCAATCATCATCAGGTATAATGAAATAGCGACATAGAATATAACCAGAAAACTATAGACAGACATATAAGCAGACAGATATCACCAAGATACATAGAGAGAGCAACCCAGGTACAGAGAGAGGTGATCGTCTCTGTGGGGTGGCCTTAAATAGACAGAGGGGGGCGGAGGCAGAGAGAGGGAGGGGGTAGGGAAAACATTTACATGTCAATGAGTACGAAGGGAGGGGAGTAAGGTAAGCAGGCTTAGAGGGAGACAGAACACACTAAATTAAATAACCTAGCAAAGTATCGAAATGTTATGTAAAACGACACAGAGAGTCGGTCAACACACAATTAACGCATTGCCTGGTCGATTACGTATTTCAAAGATTGCTAAGTTAGAATTTAAGTGTGAAAATTCAAAACAAAGACTAAACATAAAAAAGAGGAACGGAGACACACAGACAGAGCAGAACCTAAGAACGATACAAAACGAGTGTAGACAGAGAAAATTACACTAAACCAAAGAATAATTCCTGCAGTCACGAAAGCTCCAAAATTAAGATTGAACCACTTCTACGGGGAAGTTCCAAGTTTACCTTTTTCTCTCTCTCTGGGTTTCTTGTTCTCTCTATCTGCCTGTATATTTAGTGTAATTTTCTCTGTCTACACTCGTTTTGTATCGTTCTTAGGTTCTGCTCTGTCTGTGTGTCTCCGTTCCTCTTTTTTATGTTTTGTCTTTGTTTTGAATTTTCACACTTAAATTCTAACTTAGCAATCTTTGAAATACGTAATCGACCAGGCAATGCGTTAATTGTGTGTTGACCGACTCTCTGTGTCGTTTTACATAACATTTCGATACTTTGCTAGGTTATTTAATTTAGTGTGTTCTGTCTCCCTCTAAGCCTGCTTACCTTACTCCCCTCCCTTCGTACTCATTGACATGTAAATGTTTTCCCTACCCCCTCCCTCTCTCTGCCTCCGCCCCCCTCTGTCTATTTAAGGCCACCCCACAGAGACGATCACCTCTCTCTGTACCTGGGTTGCTCTCTCTATGTATCTTGGTGATATCTGTCTGCTTATATGTCTGTCTATAGTTTTCTGGTTATATTCTATGTCGCTATTTCATTATACCTGATGATGATTGCTTGTGTTGCAATCGAAACGTCGTATGCTATTATTTAATTTATTATTTTATTTTTATACGTGACTTTACCGAAAAAACCAAAGAATAATTCCTGCAGTCACGAAAGCTCCAAAATTAAGAATGCTAATATGAATTATGTACTCAGGGCACTGAAAAGGCGTGCCCCTAGTTTGTGTAGAGAGGTCTATTCAGGTAACTTCAGAAGTAGTTCTATGATGTCATCTTCCAAGACACTTATCGGACACAAGGTGATGTGTCAGAGACATTTCTTCGGCCGGTTACGTGATGCAAAAAATCACAATTGGAATACAACTGGGTAAAGAGAAAATGCAAAAATAAATCAAAACATTATGATTAGTCTTTTACCATGAAATCAAAGTGACTATCTGCCCGAAAGAGCATTATGATGCTCATTTCATTTGCCATAAGCAACGGTCCCATGACGAGAGGCAGTCCCTCCAAAAAGTAGTGAACATATTATCCACCACTAAGAGAGGATGGGCTGAATTTCGATTTAAAGCTTTCGTGACTGCAGGGATTCATCTTCTTGGTTCTTTCGGTAAAGTCACGTGACTCTACCGAAAGAACCAAGAAGAGGATGGGCTGACTTTACCCCCAAAGTGGGATTTGAATTCACGTCCTTTTTGGCTGTGAATGAAGGCCTCTGGCACTCTGCCACTCTGTCAGACAATTTTTAAGTGCAGATAATTTGTGCCAACTATAGCAGCCATCGAATGGTGTACTTAAGTGTACAGTGCAGACAGCAGCAAACCACCGGTGTTAATTTCTATATAAAACAAATATTCCACTGAAAACTCTCATTTGCTGTGATCACAAAAAACCAACACCATTAATACAAGGTATTTGAATGCTGATTCAACATCCACATATTATCAGTGTCAACAAAGTGATTCAATAATGCGCACCCGCTTTCGCATCTTCTCCTTCAGAAAGGGCTTCATCAAGGCGAACATGGCTTTGAATATCGATGGCTCATTAATCGTATTGTGTCCCTTTATTCGTATTGGAAATGCATCCTGGAAGAAAAAAACACGCACAAACAAAGATCAAACAGAAACATGAATAGAAAAAAAACCACTGTGTTTTTAGACTCATTGAAATTCGGTGTAATAATGGGCACAACCCGATGTACAGAGACAAGTGAATAAAATATTATTTAAATGTAACAGTAACTTACAGACCTTTGTCAATTTACTGCTGGATGATGTCCTTCCACATGCAATGTTAGTCGAGAGGGCTATTTGACCATACTTGAACACACTGGTCAATGCTGGTTTTGGTGAGGTGCTGCCAAAGTCTCATTCAGATATCACGTGCCACTGATGTTAGCCGTGGCCAGAAATGGAACTCGGTTTAGAGTATTCATAACACAGTGCATTAACCACTGCACCGCAGCTGTCCCCAAATATGTAAATATGCATAAGTAATTGCAAATTCATTTAAGTATATAGTAGATATGCGTTTTGGATGAGAGGTGTCTGTACGTTGAGATTTGTAAGGACAATTTATTTACCTTTTTTAGATCATTAACATTACGTACGAATGTAAACTGTCGCCGTGATAATGACAGTGCTGTGCACGAGACCACGTGACACAACTTTTGGCGCGTTAGGATGAGGGTTAGTCGTATCTAGGCGTGATTATTTTTTCCCTAGTGTGCCTTCCACTGTAACGTACCTGCATCACTGTGGTTATTTTTTTCATGAGAGAAGGGGTGACGTTGGAGACGTGGGCGAGGCGCACGCCCTTGTGGTCTGCTAGGACCGTGATCCCGTTCACCTGCGTCTCCTCGGACTGGATCAGCAGCTCCATGGTCATGTACATCGCTCGGATATTGTCCATCATGGGAGTCACCGAAGGATTCCACTTTCCTGTTCAAATTGGCATGGACGTGATTCACCTCGTGCCATAGCTGTGTGTTATTATTGTTATTACAGTAGTGAGGAAAGCCTCACAGAGTCTCGACTGTTCATCAGGAGGGTTCTGATAAGTTTTAGGAGCAGAGAGCGATTGCTATGGATTTCCCATTTTTATCAATTGCAAATATGTATTCAAATTTGGACCATGATGCCGTCACACATAGCCTACTATTTTTAAAATAACATCACGAGATCTTTAACACCCACTGTGAAATACAGGCATGTGTTTTCACGGTTAATGCACCGGTAGGAGTAAACTGGCGGCCGTGGGTTTGAACCGCAAACCACTGCAACAAATGGCAAACGCCGCAACAACTCTATGTACTGTATGTTGAACTTCTGTCACACTGTACGTAGTCAACCGTGCTAACCGGAGGTGCCATGCATATACCTAACAGTTGGGCCATTCCACGATTTTTGGCGTGCGTGTCGGACAAGTTCAATGAAAACTCAGTACTTGAAGAAGCTCCCAACACATGGAGCCAAATGTCAGACGTGACACCAAACAACAAGCGGTACAGTGCAATGGAGAGCTTGAGCAGCGACCCCTCTCACCGGGACTCTGGATGATGACGCGTCTGCCCTTGGAGTCCCGCTCTGGCAACACGCGGATGAAGCCGCTGCCCAGCAACTCTTTCACTGCGGACGGACGGAAGTTCTGGAAGATGTCTGGCCAGGTCTCGTGGCACCTCGAACAAAAGGAGTCACCAGGAGAGTAAGACCACAAGTTCACGAATTTGCGCGACAGACATTCGTGACGTGAAGATTATTCGCTGATTCAAAGCGTGGTACTATAATGTGTGCAAGGGTGGTATGTTAGCAGCGAGAGGTTAGCACACCGTGCTATGAACAAAACGACCTGGGTTAAAAAAGTTGAATGTTTCGCCACGGATAAGATTGAGTGGCGAGTGACGTCTGAACTGGCCAGTGCTGCCCTCTGCCTGCTTCACCAACCTGCACTCAGCAGCAGCAGCAAGGTGAGGTGTGGTGAACCCCCATGGGTCAAACAACCTCGACGGTGAGCCCTTTCACCAACAACGAACTAACCAAGGGCTGTCCATTAAATGCAGTGGAACAAAAACATTGTTCCTGAGTAGTGTTATTTCCTAATTGCTTATGCCTCAAAAGTACATCAAATGGCTATTGTTCCCCACAAACTTTGCTTTTGTGACCAGGACACAAAAGCAAAGTTAATAATCCACTCCGTTAATAACACTGTGTATCAAAAAATATGTTTAAGTTTGTGGGGAATAATAGCCATTTTCTATACTTTTTATGTATAAACAATTACAAAATAACACGCAGGAACAAAATCGTGTTACATAGTGATATTACACACTGTATTTGCTGTGGTATGTACTGTGCATGGTTTGTACTTTACCACGGGACTGAGTTTTGGCCAGCTGTGGGCAGTGCAGCGAATTCCATTGTTGGACTGAACTATGCCCACACATCAATGCCCGCTGTCTTCACTGACCGCCACGGTGAGCTATAGTCAAACATAACCTCGTGACCCGCACGGCGTGGCGAAGCCCTATAACTGGGGTATGCCACCCTCCTGGATTGGCAGAGAATCGACCGGAATTGGCATCGATCTCCGAGTGACTATTGAAAGCAATCCGGGAGATTTTAATAAGAGGGTATGATAAGAAAATAAATGAATAGGAATAAAAACGTCCCGGGAATAGCTTCAGTGAGAGAGTTGGAAACCTTTGCTCTAACACTTCAGGGAGTTGATAAAAAGAGCTGCACAAGTCTTCCTTGTGGTGTGACGCTGCATTGTGAGTTCACACAAAGTCCGTAAGTTTTACAACTTCATGGCCGTAGTTCACTATCCTCGCAAAGCCTTCAGCTTACACTGAAGGGCAGTGCAAACACGATCACTGTACACGCCTGCACCCTCTAACCACCCAGCAATGTCCACGCAAGGGCAACCTCAACCTTCACGCGTTGCAAACTTTTTAAAACAAGTGGCAACCAAATGTGATTTAACGTGTCGTGTTTGAAACGCTGTCTGCATTGCCCCGTTAGTCATTACAAGGGATGTCAAGCTTGCCAATAATACGACGTGCAGCACTTTAACTCAGGTGTCCTGTACACATGAGTTGTTGCAAGGTTTGTTTAAGCAAGCGGTCTTTTTTTAAATACAACTTCATACTTGTGAAACCAACTGTATTTAGCAACAACACATGCCAAATATGTACTCGGCGACGTTTCGGGCGATGACCCTTCTTCAAACGAGAGGCTGCCGATTTTAAACCGGACTAAAAACACATCCCGTAAAAAAAAATGTTTTCCCCAAAATGTTGCAAAGCGGGACATGGTTAGCTCTGGAAGTGTGAATGCGTTAAGAGTTCGTCAGCCTCGCAGGGACACACGTGCGAGCGGGTTCGATTCACGCTCACGGCCAACATCAGTGAAGATTATCTGAACCGATCCTGGGCTTCCCTTACGTCTACTCAGCCTCAAATGAGTACCAGTTGCGGTGTGCGTAAAACATCAGCACTGGGGGAGACAAAGGCGGCCGGCCGTTGGCCACCCCTCGCGTGCCGTACCGGTCTTCATAAATCTTCGCTTACATCACTTTCGCCCAACAGTCTGTTAAAGCCTGCCCGGGTGCCTTTGTCATTGTGCGTGTGGCTCTTGCCATTGTGACAATGGTACAGCAGGAGGCCGCGTGTGTGTGTATGTCGGAGTGTCAGTGGCCGCACTGTGTGTGTGTGTCGGAGTGTCAGTGGCCGCACTGTGTGTGTGTGTCGGAGTGTCAATGGCCGCACTGTGTGTGTGTGTCGGAGTGTCAATGCTGTGTGTGTGTCTGTCGGAGTGTCAATGGCCGCACTGTGTGTGTGTCGGAGTGTCAATGGCCGCACTGTGTGTGTGTGTGTGTCGGAGTGTCAATGACGGCACTGTGTGTGTGTGTCGGAGTGTCAATGGCGCACTGTGTGTGTGTGTCGGAGTGTCAATGGCCGCACTGTGTGTGTGTGTCGGAGTGTCAATGGCCGCACTGTGTGTGTGTCGGAGTGTCAGTGGCCGCACTGTGTGTGTGTGTCGGAGTGTCAATGACGGCACTGTGTGTGTGTGTCGGAGTGTCAATGACGGCACTGTGTGTGTGTGTGTGTCGGAGTGTCAATGGCCGCACTGTGTGTGTGTCGGAGTGTCAATGACGGCACTGTGTGTGTGTGTGTGTCGGAGTGTCAATGGCCGCATTGTGTGTGTGTGTGTGTGTCGGAGTGTCAATGACGGCACTGTGTGTGTGTGTGTGTGTCGGAGTGTCAATGGCCGCACTGTGTGTGTGTGTCGGAGTGTCAATGACGGCACTGTGTGTGTGTGTGTCGGAGTGTCAATGGCCGCACTGTGTGTATGTCGGAGTGTCAATGGCCGCACTGTGTGTGTGTGTCGGAGTGTCAATGACGGCACTGTGTGTGTGTGTCGGAGTGTCAATGGCCGCACTGTGTGTATGTCGGAGTGTCAATGGCCGCACTGTGTGTGTGTATCGGAGTGTCAATGGCCGCACTGTGTGTATGTCGGAGTGTCAATGACGGCACTGTGTGTGTGTGTGTCGGAGTGTCAATGATGGCACTGTGTGTGTGTGTGTGTGTCGGAGTGTCAATGGCCGCACTGTGTGTATGTCGGAGTGTCAATGGCCGCGATGTGTGTGTGTGTGTCGGTGTGTCAATGGCCGCACTGTGTGTGTATGTGTGTATGTCGGAGTGTCAATGGCCGCACTGTGTGTATGTCGGAGTGTCAATGGCCGCGATGTGTGTGTGTATGTCGGAGTGTCAATGGCCGCACTGTGTGTGTGTGTATGTCGGAGTGTCAATGACCGCACTGTGTGTGTGTGTCGGAGTGTCAATGGCCGCACTGTGTGTGTGTGTATGTCGGAGTGTCAATGGCCGCACTGTGTGTATGTCGGAGTATCAATGGCCGCACTGTGTGTATGTCGGAGTGTCAATGACCGCACTGTGTGTGTGTGTAGGAGTGTCAATGACCGCACTGTGTGTATGTCGGAGTGTCAATGACCGCACTGTGTGTATGTCGGAGTGTCAATGGCCGCACTGTGTGTATGTCGGAGTGTCAGTGGCCGCACTGTGTGTGTGTCGGAGTGTCAATGGCCGCACTGTGTGTATGTCGGAGTGTCAATGGCCGCACTGTGTGTATGTCGGAGTGTCAGTGGCCACACTGTGTGTGTGTGTCGGTGTGTCAATGACGGCACTGTGTGTGTGTGTTGGAGTGTCAATGACCGCACTGTGTGTATGTCGGAGTGTCAATAGCCGCACTGTGTGTGTGTGTCGGAGTGTCAGTGGCCACACTGTGTGTGTGTGTCGGTGTGTCAATGACGGCACTGTGTGTGTGTGTTGGAGTGTCAATGACCGCACTGTGTGTATGTCGGAGTGTCAATGGCCGCACTGTGTGTGTGTCGGAGTGTCAATGACGGCACTGTGTGTGTGTGTGTGTGTCGGAGTGTCAATGGCCGCACTGTGTGTGTGTGTGTGTGTCGGAGTGTCAATGACGGCACTGTGTGTGTGTGTGTCGGAGTGTCAATGGCCGCACTGTGTGTGTGTGTCGGAGTGTCAATGACGGCACTGTGTGTGTGTGTGTCGGAGTGTCAATGGCCGCACTGTGTGTATGTCGGAGTGTCAATGGCCGCACTGTGTGTGTCGGAGTGTCAATGACGGCACTGTGTGTGTGTGTGTGTGTTGGAGTGTCAATGGCCGCACTGTGTGTATGTCGGAGTGTCAATGGCCGCACTGTGTGTGTGTGTCGGAGTGTCAATGGCCGCACTGTGTGTATGTCGGAGTGTCAATGGCCGCACTGTGTGTATGTCGGAGTGTCAATGACGGCACTGTGTGTGTGTGTGTTTGTCGGAGTGTCAATGACGGCACTGTGTGTGTGTGTGTCGGAGTGTCAATGGCCGCACTGTGTGTATGTCGGAGTGTCAATGGCCGCGATGTGTGTGTGTGTGTATGTCGGAGTGTCAATGGCCGCACTGTGTGTATGTCGGAGTGTCAATGGCCGCGATGTGTGTGTGTATGTCGGAGTGTCAATGGCCGCACTGTGTGTGTGTGTATGTCGGAGTGTCAATGACCGCACTGTGTGTGTGTGTCGGAGTGTCAATGGCCGCACTGTGTGTGTGTGTATGTCGGAGTGTCAATGGCCGCACTGTGTGTATGTCGGAGTATCAATGGCCGCACTGTGTGTATGTCGGAGTGTCAATGACCGCACTGTGTGTGTGTGTCGGAGTGTCAATGACCGCACTGTGTGTATGTTGGAGTGTCAATGACCGCACTGTGTGTATGTCGGAGTGTCAATGGCCGCACTGTGTGTATGTCGGAGTATCAGTGGCCGCACTGTGTGTGTGTCGGAGTGTCAATGACCGCACTGTGTGTATGTCGGAGTGTCAATGGCCGCACTGTGTGTATGTCGGAGTGTCAGTGGCCACACTGTGTGTGTGTGTCGGTGTGTCAATGACGGCACTGTGTGTGTGTGTTGGAGTGTCAATGACCGCACTGTGTGTATGTCGGAGTGTCAATAGCCGCACTGTCTGTGTGTGTCGGAGTGTCAGTGGCCACACTGTGTGTGTGTGTCGGTGTGTCAATGACGGCACTGTGTGTGTGTGTTGGAGTGTCAATGACCGCACTGTGTGTATGTCGGAGTGTCAATAGCCGCACTGTGTGTGTGTGTCGGTGTGTCAATGACGGCACTGTGTGTGTGTGTTGGAGTGTCAATGACCGCACTGTGTGTATGTCGGAGTGTCAATGGCCGCACTGTGTGTGTGTCGGAGTGTCAATGACGGCACTGTGTGTGTGTGTGTGTGTCGGAGTGTCAATGGCCGCACTGTGTGTGTGTGTGTGTGTCGGAGTGTCAATGACGGCACTGTGTGTGTGTGTGTCGGAGTGTCAATGGCCGCACTGTGTGTGTGTGTCGGAGTGTCAATGACGGCACTGTGTGTGTGTGTGTCGGAGTGTCAATGGCCGCACTGTGTGTATGTCGGAGTGTCAATGGCCGCACTGTGTGTGTCGGAGTGTCAATGACGGCACTGTGTGTGTGTGTTGGAGTGTCAATGGCCGCACTGTGTGTATGTCGGAGTGTCAATGGCCGCACTGTGTGTGTGTCGGAGTGTCAATAGCCGCACTGTGTGTATGTCGGAGTGTCAATGACCGCACTGTGTGTATGTCGGAGTGTCAATGGCCGCACTGTGTGTATGTCGGAGTGTCAATAGCCGCACTGTGTGTATGTCGGAGTGTCAATGACCGCACTGTGTGTGTGTCGAGCGAAGCAACATCAAAGCACGCTACTTGTAGTAGCTCTCCACGAGCTTGAAGGTCTTCTCGTGGTCAAACTTCCTGGCTCGCAGGAACCGCAGCAGGAAGCCGTCGTCCATCCGGGCCGGGATGTCGGGGCGGAGAGCGAGCGCCTCCCGCAGCTTCTGCACCTCGTGGGCCCTCGTCTCGGGGTTCTCTCCCAACTCCACGCGAGCCCTCTCCACCAGCTCGGGCGACAGCGAGCACACGTAGCCCCCTGCCATCGCTGTGTGTGTGTGTGCTGCGCGTGTGTGTGATGTGTACCTACTGAGTGTGTGTGTGTGCTGCGTGTGTGTGTTTACACTGTGTGTGTACCTACTGAGTGTGTGTGTGCTGCGTGTGTGTACACTGTGTATGTACCTACTGAGTGTGTGCTGCGTGTGTGTACACTGTGTATGTACCTACTGAGTGTGTGCTGCGTGTGTGTGTGCACTGTGTGTGTACCTACTGTGTGTGTGTGCTGCGCGTGTGTGTGTGTGTGCACTTTGTGTGTACCTACTGAGTGTGTGTGTGCTGCGTGTGTGTACACTGTGTATGTACCTACTGAGTGTGTTCTGCGTGTGTGTGTGCACTGTGTGTGTCCCTACTGAGTGTGTGTGTGCTGCGCGTGTGTGTGTGTGTGCACTGTGTGTGTACCTACTGAGTGTGTGTGTGCTGCGTGTGTGTGTGTACACTGTGTATGTGCTTACTGAGTGTCTGCTGCGTGTGTGTACGTACTGTGTGTGTGTACACTGAGTGTGTGCTGCGTGTGTGTGTGTACACTGTGTGTGTGTACGTACTGAGTGTGTACGTACTGGGTGTGTGGTGTAGAGTGTGGAGCGGGGACAGCTGCGAGTGACCAGAGTGCGAGACGGAAGCGTGGTGGTGGTGGTGTGTGTGGGTGTTGTGCGCTCTTAGAGGGGCACAGCAGTAGGAGTAGTTGCAATGTCAACGTGATGTCACACGCACGCGCATAACACCCCAACACCTCTATGTCTGCACCGTGGGTTGTTGCCAGACTGCACGTTCTGTTTCAAACATATCGGGTTTGTGCGTTTGTTATCTGCGCACGTCGACTCAGTCTCAAAGTCGGTGTGTACACATCACCACTAGGGAGACAAAGGCGGCCGGGCGTGGTGTTGGCCACCAACCCCCTCGTGTGCCGTTCCGGCCTTCATAGGTGCTCGCTAACAGCACTTGTCCCAGCAGTCTATTTAGGCTATACGGGGGACCTTTGTCTAAATGTTCCATGATGTTGTATCGTCGTACTGATGTGTTGTGAAGAAGATCCATTGCCTCTGAAACGTCGCGTATTACACAGTGTGTGTGTGTGTTGTTTGCCTCTCAATAGCCTACACGTCAACCCGTGCCCATTCAAATCACCACCGATCAGCACGGTTGGCTACGTACGGTGCGAAAGAAGTCCAACGTGCTTTGATACCTCCCCTCCTGAAAAACATCGGGAAAATCCCAAGGAATGTATATAGATATCCAATAACGTGAGACACGAGAAGAGTGAGAGATGGGGTAGAGGCTACTAAATGATGTTTATTTTTACAGCAGCAATAGGAGGCTAACACACACCACGTCCCCGCAGTAAATGAAGTAATAATACTCACCTTGAGTCGCTGAGATTCTAGTTTGCCGCTTGTTCCGTCGAGAGAGTGAAGATAACTCTGGAGCTACCCCTCCTCACGTAGCAAGGCGTGAGCCCTGGGCAGCAGCAGCAGTAGCAGCCCGTGCACCGCAGTGCATCGGGCTGTGTGTGTGTTACTTACCACAGGTAAACAACAACAAACGTGGGAATTTATTGCACGGCCGTGATACCCTCAACATCGTGATAAACCCCGAGTCTCAAGCGGTAATCCCTGCTGACACTTTGTCTGGCGTCTTTTGCGACCGCTGTTCATGATGAATGTATTGAGTCTTGTTTTTTGTACTCTCGCAGGTCGAATCAAAGCCAATTATTAAATGCACAGAATACTTACAATGAAATGTGTGTGTGTGTGCGCAGATTACGACAGATATTGTTCGGTTTATTTAAATGAAGCAAGCTCAGCTGTAGCCAAGTTCGAGGGCCCGACACTTTGCCATGCCGTGGCACAGGCTGCTGTTGTGCACGGCTGTTTCAGTCCATTTTCCCTAACATCCTAAAGTACAAATGCTTCCACTGTACATGTTTTATCATTCTCGTAGAGCGCGCTTCAACGTTTACTGTGCTGGTTCAATACAGCCGGCCACCATAACGAACAGAGGACTGACGGCAGATTCAGGCGAGGGCAGGAGATCTAAAAGGTCGCGGAGCGCAACATCTCGGAGTCGCCGTGCGGCGTTTTTGCAAAGAAGTCAATGCGATTCGCCAGTCGGCGGTGTGGCTCTGCACACGAGAACGAGTGGATTCTCTCGCAGAGAGGCAAACCTGATGAGGGAACAAATATGCACTCGCCGAGTCTTAACAGGCTTGTGAGCTAGAATAACAAGCTCGAGTCGTATATTGCTATCAGGGGGTGCCGACGTAAGGCACACAATCGGAGTTGGAGGTGGAGAATACCGAAAATCGGATTGGTCATCGGGGAAAACTAACATGGAAACGAGGGGTCGGTTGGGAGAAATGAAAGGAATTGGTGGAGAGGCATGGGAGGTTCCAGAAAAAAGTACGGGGAAGAGAATAAAAGGAGCGGATAAAAGGGGATTCGGGCTGCCTGAAGAAAGGAAGTTCAAGGCTCACCCGGCCTGGAACTCCTTCACACGCCTCGGGGCTCACGCGTTCGTGTCGAGGCGTTGCTCTGCGGAAGCCATTCAGGATTAAACACGTTTTCATTTCTCGTACCGTCGTGGGAAGCACACCGATATGGTTTACAGAAGCTATGCAAGGATGTTGAAACAAAAAGTTGTACACAAAAAAAATGTTTTATTTCATGACATCTTGATGAATTTGTAGGAGGGGGACAATTAGTGTCAATCGACGTGAAATCCGCCTCTATATAACCGTGTGGATACTCGTGTCAGCCCTGAAATGTAACTCTGTTGAGGTGTATACCGTACAAGCGGGATGTGATCTGATGCTGTAAGATGGAACACAGCAGAATAATGCCTCCACTCCTCAGAGCCCCCTGTTGGTAAGGCCTCGAGTGGGAAGACAATTAAACAAAATATGGATCATTTGGATGGCAATGAAACATCCAAAGCAGAGCACCTCACTCGCTCACAGAAGCCGATGCCGTCGCCGGCGCAAAATACCGAGCTTGTGGAACATCGCTTCACCGTGTCCCTCCCCACGTGCGGAATGAGCTTCCTTCCTGCGGTGAGATGCAACGGGCGGCCTAACACAGTCATCGAGAGGCAGCTAAAGACACGTGTACAGAAGAGCTCTCAAGTGACGCTTAAGCTTTTCCCCGGAGCTCGGACGTGTGTTATCGACTTGCTGCACAAATTATGTGCGTGTTATAAATCGGACTTTCTTATTAATGGAATTCACGGGTTTTTTATTTTATTGCAATAAAACTTGTATATCGAGGCACCCCTCGTCTGAATTAACCCAGTATTTCGAGGACGCACTGTAATTACCCACGTGCTCCCAGTTGTGTACACTGGCAAGCCCTCTCGTCTTCATTCAACCACTGTTACCCTTGCTACTGCGTATTTGCATGTGGTTGTGTTGAACAACTCTCCGATGCGTTTTCGGGTTGTACTGCATCTTGTGTGCTTTGTCCAACGTTTCGCTGCAAGTGCAGGGAGCTTCTTCAGGAACTGAATAGTAGTGAAGTATGGCCAAGCTCCCAGCACGTGGTGCTAAACATCGGACATCGTGCCAAACAACGTGCGGTACAACCCAAAGACACTTCAGAGTTGTTAAGAACAACCGTGAAATGTATGCAGTAGCAAGGATTCAAGTGGTCGATTCGAGAAGAGCACTTTTGAGTGTAAACGCCTCAGACCTGGAGTGGCCTTCCTTTGCTGAATCTAAGCCTAGAACTTGGTCCACTCCTCCTCGGGCCCCGCCTCCTCGAGGGCGCGGTTCAGATCCTCCTGCAGCTTCTTCTCCTCGGCCGTGAGGACCTCGTCGGGTGACTCGGCCTTGGTGAACGAGATATTTCCAAACGTCTCGAGGAAGTAGGGCTCGGCGGCGAGCAGCGTCTGGGTCCACGTGTCGGTGGAGATCGCGGGCGCAGTGCCCCCGTACTCCGCTGGCAGCAGATCCGGAGAAATCTTCTTGTGCAGCGACAGGAAGTCGTAGCCGTGGAAGTTCATCTGCAAATAAAACACGAACGTGTGCACGTCGAGGGGATCTGTCGTGGTGGAATGGTCGGCACACTGGACTTGCAAACCACAGGAAACAATAGCGCAATATTCTTAAATATGCCCCCTGTGTGTCCACCGAGCAGTGTTTGTTGGTACACCACAGTAGATCGGCGGCTCGTGTGCGGCGGGGTAAAGTTTCGGCATTCTCACCTCTTCAAGACATCAGAGCAGCTTAGAAGAGCTGGGAGTGATATTTCCTTGAGGGGCTGCCTCGAGTGCTCCCACTAATGCAGGCTCTTCTGCCAGCAGTGGCTACCCTAGCAATTGGAGGGTTGCACCTTTACATGCACAGCCCATTTGTCCATCCACTGCTGGATGAAGGCCTTCCCATGCCGTACAATGAGGGTTATTGAAACTACGCGTGTTGAAGGAGGTAGTGGTAAGTCCAGAACAACAACGACACATTGTCTGCACTGCCCTCCACTGCGCACACCAGCGACTCCACCAGCTTTACGCATGTTAGTCGCCCATTCCAAGTACTGTCATTCCGGATTATGTGGTCATGCACACGGGTAAACTAAAACAGTTGCGCCATTATAAGACCGCGTATTGTTACAAACCTCAACATTTTAATTTCTCTTTTTTTTAACGAGTTTCAGACACTCTCCACACCGGTCCAATTACTGGACGCAGTGTTTAGTCGTTCGGTTGATTAACGTCGGTTTTTTGCGGCATTACTCATTGCCCTTTTGTAAATATGAAAATACTGGCTTTAAAGCATCATTAATTATGACAAGTGCAGGCAGCCAGCCAGGGGGTATGCTGGATGCTGCATACAAAGTTAGGCTTCCAGAAATGATCTCTTCAGCCTCATCATGACATTTGCTGCACACTTACAGTTAAAATAAATTGCAAGTTTCTTCAACCTGTCCACCACTCTCTACCTAACAATATAAACATCGGTCCTGCTGATGATCACAGAGTACCACAAACTACCGCAAATCTACTCGTGAATGGGGGGGGGGGGGATGTGCCCAGGACGAGTTCAGATATCACTCACCACTGATGTTAGCCGCCCCCCTTAAAATGAAATGATTTTGCCCGGTGAAACTTTCATAATGTGATCACAATCATACCAGGTTAAGGCTTACCCGTTTTCTCATTTTTTCCTTGAGAAATGGTTTAATCATCGCAAATACTGCCTTGAATATGACCGGTTCATTAATGCTGTTCTGTCCTTTAATCCGCATCGGGAAGGCATCCTGGAGGCAAAGCACAATGGCACTTTGTATTAATTCGAAATGTAACTAAGGCATCAAGCGCATAATTACAGCGACGCGATTACAGTACAGTAAATCATAGGCAAGGTTGAGTATTCTCGTACTGTAATTAAATATTCACCAAATATAATGCCGATTCATACAAATGAATGAGAGCCTGTTTGGTAAGTGGTGAGTATATGGCTCATGTGATGAAAAAAAAAAGTTGGCTCTGCAATAATCGCACACCTGCATTTGATGTCATAATGGCAACTTCCAAACTATGAATGTCAACACCACAAGGTGGAGCGGACTTTGACATTTTTAGACACGTGGTATACACGACCGATGCCAAAACTCATTCTTTTGATTACAGCTGGAACAACGAGCCATATAACAAACACAAACTTGTAATCCACTAATTTTTTCAGTTTGATCACTTGGGGCTCTTTAAACATGGTAGCCACCCTCATACCCCCCCACCAGCCACACTCTGCGTGACACGGCAGATGATGCTGATCACTTCACCAATCTTCGTCCGTCATCTCCTGTCCAGCGGGACACATGCAACAGAGCTGAGACTTTTCCCCCAACATTTTTCTATTATCCATTTATTGCTGTAATCAAACTGATAAACATCAGAGAACCATAATGGATTATACGATTATATATCCCAGCCTTTCCTGTCATTTGGAAAGTGACACATGTCACATGAAGAGCATTAGGTGTGCCTTACCTGCATCACTGTGGTCATACGCTTCACAAAATATGGGCTGAAGTTGGTCACCTGGGCAAGGCCCAAGCCCTTGTAGTCTCCTAGGAGGACGATCCCGTTCACCTGCGTCTCCTCCGACTGCAGCAGCAGCTCCAGCGTCATGTACATCGCTCTGAGATTATCAATGATGGGAGTCGTCGAAGGGTTCCACTTTCCTGTTGGAAACCAAACGTCAGAGCGAGAGCGTGCGTTTGTGCTTGCACGAGGACGCGGAGAGAGGCGCAAAAAGGATCGGTGTCTTCAATGTAACTAGGATCTCACGTGTGCTGAACTAATGTCACGAGTAGAGGAAGAACATAGGTAGCAGTCACACTATTGTTCAAGAGTGGCACGGTGGTGTGGCTGGAACAGTATTCTAAGACGAGTTTTGACTGGTTAGCTATGTTACATGACCTCTCCCTTCCTGATCAGGCTTACAATCTAAGAAATCTCTGAAGAACTTAGTTTAAAGCGTAGGCTTTCGCGACCAATATCATCCATAATAGAGGTTTTTTTGGGTTAGATGGCGTAAATATATAAATGTGTTGTTAAACTCTCCACCACCCGACACAGCCAACTAGTAAGGTTTGTCACGTAAACAGAACGTGTCAATTTGTCACTAGTACATCACTAACCGGTGTGTTGGAGAGCCAAGTACAATCTGAGATTGTAAATGTTGAAATGTTGTGGCTTGGCTCTCCAACACACCGGTTAGTGCTGAACTAGTGACGAATTGGCACGTTGTGTTTACGTGACAAACCTTTCTAGTTGGCTGTGTCGGGTGGTGGCGGGTTTAACGACATATTTATATATTTACGCGATCTAACCCAAAAAAAACCCGCATTATGAGGAACTCTTGATAGTGGTGAAGGCAAGAGCAGCTGCCTCAATCCAAACCCAGGATCGCAGCAGTACCAACGGTGGGTTCTGACTTGGTATTAGGCCTTTGAGCCAGCACGCAGCTTGCTTTTCCAACTCCAATTGAACTCATTTTAACAATGTGACATCCATACTGGGCTGCAGGAGCAGCACGGGTTGCTGCAGGCCCAGCAGAAGATGCGAGTCTCCGTGCTTATGTTCTCGGCAGGAGCTGCCAGGCGGTGGTGAGAGTGAGTGGCAGCGTCCCCGCTCACCGGGACTCTGGATGATGACGCGTCTGCCCTGGGAATCGCGCTGTGGCACCACGCGGATGAAGCCGCTGTCCAGAACTTTTTTCACGGCGGACGGACGGAAATCCTGGAAGACGTCTGGCCAGGTCTGGTGGCACCTAAAATTAAACGAATCCGCAGAGGAGTGAGACGATGGCAGTTACGTAACTTTCTACACACACGGACGTGTGTTAAACACAGCATCTCAGGAGTATGGGTACGTGTGTGGCCAGTGAAGGAGGGTGCCTGTAGTAATTTCAACTGAAGAGCAAAGCAAACGTGAGCATACGCACAACGTCAGACAGGGGCAGCGACACCTTTACAAATTGCACCACAGTGCAGCAGAAAGCAAATAATCTGCGAAGTAACAAAACAAAAATCCCGTAATTAACAGATTATTGGCCATTCGCGGCTGCTACCCGTAATCCGCGGCACACCGTGGTGGAGTGAGCACGCTGGGCGTGCCGCAGAGCGTGATCCGTAGCAGTGCCGGCGCTCACTCGGAGCTGCAGGGAAACATGAAAGGGGTTTTCTTGTTGTTGTTGCCATATTTTGGATTTGCGTCTGCAGAGACTGGATTTGTTTTGTGGACAGAATTTTGCTTTTTTGACAGTTGGATATCGAATCCTTCAACAAAGACCCATATTACAGAATCGCACTATTTGGGTCTCGGAGAAACTCGTAATACACGAAATTATGGCAGGTTAATTTAGCAGCTCGTCGCGTGCCGCGCACTCCCTTGTAATCCGCGGGTTTTTTTGCTGATTAATGGAATTGCGCAGATAATTCCTCTCGTAATTGGTGACACCACATCCGTATCAACGTATTTTGGGGGGATTATAAGTCTGACCTCCGTGGTGCATTGCGCGATTACAGGATCAGCGAAATTCCCCCCTCGCATCGATGTGGGGTATTGGATTTTTGCTGTAGTCTAATAAACAAGAGTTAAACAGGATGGTTGACTGAAATAAATTGAGTGTATAAACATTGCATGCATTACTCATTAAAATATATCAAACAAATGACATCGGTCAGCCTGGCAAGTTTAAACACTTTTAAACCATAGCGATATTTCAAAGCAAAAAATTGCGTCAGTTTTTCCCCCCAAAAAAATGTTTCGTAAAAGTTTCGGTTATAACTTTGAAAATTATTAATTGGAAAAAATTTACAAAGATCGACACACTTCTGCTTCAATTAGCAGGATTGGCAAGTGTGAATTATGATCTCCGACACGTGTTTCAGTGTTTTGTTTGGGCATGATGTCTGACATTTCCCTCCACGTGCTGGGAGCTTCAGGGTAAAACCCAAAAACACAATCGGAAAGTTACGTAGCACACCAACAAAAAACCCTCCACCGGAGTATACATTGTTTTGTTACTGTCATTCACGACAACGGCACAGTAAGTGCCATGCAAGTGTTTGTGTGTGTCCAATGTGTTTGCCGTCATGCCATCAATGGCAGCGAGTGCTTTGATCTTGTGCGTGTGTGTGGATGTGTGTGTGGCAAGCGATAGACGCTACTTGTAGTAGTTCTTTATCAACTTCAAGGTCTTCTCGTGGTCAAACTTCCTGGCTCGCAGGAACCGCAGCAGGAAGCCGTCGTCCGTCCGGGCCGGGATGTCGGGGAGGCGGCCGAGCGCCTCCCGCAGCTTCTGCACCTCCTGCGCTCTCGTCTCGGGATTCTCTCCTAGCTCCACGCGAGCCCTCTCCACCATCTCGGGCGACAGCGAGCACACGTAGCCCGCAGACATGTCTCTCGCGCGGCCTCGCCGTGTGTGTGTGCGAGTGTGAGGTGTGGAGTGAACAGTCGGGAAGGGGAATAGGACACTCGCTCTTTGCAGGAGAGAGAGACGCAGAGCAAATCTTGGGCCACTCAAAATGGCTGGCTCTTGTTTTGTCAATGTTTAACTTTGCAAGTGTATGTACAAAGTACAATATGATAAGGAACAGGTGACATGACATTGAGATAAAGTTACAATTTTTCAACTTGTTTTACTGCTTACAGCTCGGACACTCTGCTCACAACTGATATTTGAGTAACATTTTTCGCTCAAGTTCAATATTTTTGTTCATATAAATAATGTCACGTTATATTTAGAAGATGCACTGTATTTTAAATAACACACACGCTAATGGTAATTTAAAAATATATTCTCAAGGCTATATCTTTGACCTTGCACTTTGAACATTCCAAGGGCCTTTTAGCCCAGTGGGTCCCTTTGCTTGACGCATGAAACCAGTGATTATTCTAGCATTGTTTGGCAACAGAATTGTGCACATACAGTTTGGTTCATATTGCACCACCTTCACGAACGTTGCCATGCCCCGACCCACCCCTCCCTATGGACGCATTTACAGACACATGGACAGCGCCTATGCATTAATAAATTCAACCTTAGTTGGAAAGCGTTAAAATGGAAAGATAATTGGCAAGAAAATATCTTTGGAACTCGTATGCCAGGAAAGCTACACAACTTGAGTAAATAATTGTATTAAAAAAAATTCCACAAATAGGATCACTTATTTGGGTGAGTGGCTTCAGCCAGTTACTTAAATATTGGCTTCTGTTTCAGTTTTTTATTATCTTTCTCAAATGTTTGATTATGCATAATTTATAATGTCGTGTCCGTGGGTTAAACGCAGCATAAATAAACGGTCCTTGGAAAACGTGTGCGATACAAAGTTGCAGAATCGTCGCTTTAGTTAAACAAAGTGTAATTCACCATCTTTCTCGTCGTGTGTAGATGACACGGCGGTGCAGTACAACACGATACGGACAATCTTGCTTTGAAGCTTTCGTGACTGCAGGAATCCATACTCTTTGGTTCTTTCGGTAAAGTCACGTAGATAGGAAATTAATAGATCACGACGTTTCGATCGCAACACAAGCAACCGTCGTCAGGTGAGAGATCCAGGAGTTCCTACGTCGGCAGTTCTCCTGCTGTGTTTGTCTCACCCCTGATGACGGCTGCTTGTGTTGCGATCGAAACGTCGTGATCTATTCATTTTCTATCTACGTGACTTTACCGCAAGAACCAAAGAGTACGATACGGACACCACCTCAACTCGCCCCTCATAGCACGTGATCAGCGGTGGCCTAACACCCCCACAGGTTATCACTTGAGCACAGAGAACATTTCCACCCTTTTATCATCGCAAACCTCTGTTTTACAACTGTCCGTGTTGTAAAAAAAACTATCATAAAACCACTCTTTTCAAATGTTAGACACTCCGCATTACAGACTGAAAATCCGATTGTTAATGAATTTCATGAAATCTGGGCACTCGTAGGTGCTGATTCGATACACCTTGCAACAGAGGTGCAGACTCCATCCCCGCTCTCTCTCTTTACTCTGCCCATTGCCAGCCTCTGGGTCAATCTCCGTCTATCCACGCTGGTCTTGAGCTCTCTTCTCCTTCTCCGTTTCACCGCGCGTCCCCTGGCTGCTTCGAGCAGCAGCAGCAGCATCCGTGTCCTGCCTCTTGGCCTCTGGTCCCAGTGTCTCTCGCCCTTCCAGAGCGTCCTTCGTCGAGAGCTGTCGCCTCTGATGGTGCGCTCACTCCTCATCCTTCGCCTTGTTTTATTGCCCCGTACAGTGCATTTGAAACTTTGTTGCACCGCTATGCAATGTAATTATCTTCATCACGATCGTTTAGATGAACAAGGTCACGTGTTTGCAATGATGGCTTTCATGATATTACCATAGAATCCCATGAAAATGGCTCATATTCATGTAATGGAGCCACACTAACTACAGACGACTTGAAGACTACTTTTGAAACATTGAACTTGTTCATTTCAAAGTCGCACACACACTATGTGAGTAAATAGTGTGAACAACATCTATAACTGTGGTGTGACACTGACTCTAAACCTGTTTAACAAACTTCTATCTATGGGACGTTTTGGCCAGCATCAAAGTATGAAAAATGAGACTAGATTTGTACTCTTTCTGGCAATGAAACAAGTGTTGAGATGTTTGAACAACAAATGTATACCTTGTGCAAGTAATAAAGTCTGTATTAACCACACGTACTTGTGGTGAACATGCAAACAAACACGCTCTGGTAATCTCTGCATTGGCATTGAAACTGATTGGCCGACACCAGAGACAACCTTCTTTATGGCCGAGTCTCACCACCAGTGTCAGATCAGAGAACGCCAAAAGGCGAACACTACAAAGGCAATGCACGTGTCAGAGCACTTACAGCTCGGGTTGATCATTGTCTTTGTACTGTGTTTGAAGTGGCAAATGTATAAAGGGTTAAATTGACAGCCGAGCTGTTGCCACTTAGTGTGTGGTGCTTGGTGAGTGGTGAGGAGTGAGCGGTAAATATATTGTGTGAGTGGTGAGCATCTTGTGAGTGGTGAGCATCTGATCTGCGGAGAGTGCAGTGCTTGGAAAGACGTGAGTGATGAGGGTCAATGTCAGTGACGAATGTTCGCTGAGTGTGTTTGGTGAGTGGTGAAGCTGCGAAAGGTAGTGACGTGAGTAAAGCATCATACTCGTATTCTTATATACGGAGTGGTATCTCCTGTAATCTCTCATTTACTTGATACAGCTGTCGGGTTGTGACGGTTCCACCTGAAGACGGAAGCTTGTGTTGCCTCCGAAACGTCGTGATTTTTATTTTATTTTACTTTTATTAATTTTAAATGTTTTACCTACGTGACTTTACCGGAAAAAACCTAAGAATATGAATCATTGCAGTCACGAAAGCTTCAAATCTAGAATACATCATACTCGTGTTTATTGCATCGCATCTCAAGAGCAGACAATGCTACCGAGGGCTTCAGTTGGAGGCGAGGCTATTGGCGATCCTGGAGTTGAACCTGCACGCCGTGGGCTGGTTGGGCTCGGGACAGCCTTGCCCCCAGGCCACGACACCATGCAGCTCGCCACTGCACACCGCAGGGCCACCTGCGTCACCTCGCAGCGAGACGGAGGAGTCGGTAGACTTCAACAACAACAACGACAACAACACTGATACTAATGTACACGGGCAGGGCATTCTCGGTCTACTGCTGGACGAAGTCCTCCCTGCACCGTGGGGATTAACTACACTCGACCAAGCTGGTTGGTGGGGGTGGTGAAGCCAGGGAGCATAGACGTGGGAGCACAGATGTATTGTACAACCATGGATGTTGTTGCACTACCCACTGCTGCCCACAATGTAGCTTCCGCAGTCTGTCACAGCGACAAATGATGATGAGAAATGGGAGCTGTGCTCTCCGCACATCTGTCAGGAATCCTTGCCTCAAGTTCAAGTTCATGTATTAGGTGTAGCCCTGTGAGCCATTCGGCTCTTGAATCGGGTGCAACCGCAACAAACAAAAAACAAAAACACGAACAAGAAAACATCTTAAAGTGAATATGTGACTAAGTGCAAACAGAAAATCCAAGAAAAGACAGCAAAATATTGCAGAAAAAACATCGTACACAAACGCTGTGTGCAAAAATCCCAGTGGGATGCAAGTCAAACAACAACAACAACCACAAGACAACTTAGATTAAGGCCATAAGTCTTACTCCGTACTACAACAAACAAACGTGGCCAAACCAGTAAACTTTTTTAAATCACCAAAATAAAGCAATGAAACAGTGATCATAGGAACTGTGACGGAATTTTCACAATAAACGACAAACAACATGTTCTACCAATACCCTGCAGCCATAGCTGGCTGCATGAGTCACTCCAAAACAGCAGGAGCATCAATCGGAGTATTATAATTTTTCAATGCACCTTTAAGATCAGCACACTAGAGACATGTCATGCTCTTGGTGATCAGGCCAGGGTGAGATTTGTTGCAGACCTTATTGATTTAATTCATCGCAATGTTCATGTGTTAGACAGAAAATGTGTTTGGTCAGTTACCCAGCTGGCTTGCAAACGAGAACATTGGTGCATTAGCACAGAACAACATCAAAGTGAGACCTACGGAGGAACGGGAAACATCGTAAAATAACGCGTTGGAGGAAAAGGCAAAATTATTCGTATAGAACACAAATGTAACTTTTAAATTTGATCTAACCAGGTAAGGCCGCACGGAGCTACGTGTTTTTTTTCCCATAAGCGACCTGGCCAAAAATGATAGCTCAATGAAGCGGCTCATCATGTGGAAATGTAGTGTCAGTAACAGTAGATAACCCCCAACTTGACCGTCACAGGGTGGAAGAGAGAGGCCCCACAGAAGTGGTAGCCGGCGTTGAGGGACACCTGCCAGGGCTGGGAGTGCGGGCGGCCCTCGTAGCCCCCCACGATGTGGTCATTCCCCACCGGGGCAGCCACTGCAGCGGCCGCACCGCACCAGCGAGACCGCCGTTACCCGCAACGCCGACGCTGATTGTACTTCACGACGGTCGCTGTAGTCATCTGCCGGGCTCCGAGATCCTCCATGCGCTCGGCCCTGCTCACTGCTCCTCTGTCATCTTACTCTGCTTCCCTGCATGCGCTCTCCCACCTCTCCCATCTCGTCTCCCTCTACGACCAATCTCACTCTCCTACCTCTCCCATCTCGTCTCCCTCTACAATCTCACTCTCCCGCCTCTCCCATCTCGTCTCCCTCTACAATCTCACTCTTCTACCTCTCCCATCTCGTCTCCCTCTACAATCTCACTCTCCTACCTCTCACATTTTGTCTCCCTCTACAATCTCACTCTCCTACCTCTCCCATCTCGTCTCCCTCTACAATCTCACTCTCCCGCCTCTCCCATCTCGTCTCCCTCTACAATCTCACTCTTCTACCTCTCCCATCTCGTCTCCCTCTACAATCTCACCCTCCTACCTCTCCCATCTCGTCTCCCTCTACGACCAATCTCATTCTCCTACTTCTCCCATCTCGTCTCCCTCTACAATCTCACTCTCCCGCCTCTCCCATCTCGTCTCCCTCTACGACTAATCTCACTCTCCTACCTCTCCCATCTCGTCTCCCTCTACGACCAATCTCACTCTCCTACCTCTCCCATCTCGTCTCCCTCTACAATCTCACTCTTCTACCTCTCCCATCTCGTCTCCCTCTACAATCTCACCCTCCTACCTCTCCCATCTCGTCTCCCTCTACGACCAATCTCACTCTCCCGCCTCTCCCATCTCGTCTCCCTCTACAATCTCACTCTTCTACCTCTCCCATCTCGTCTCCCTCTACAATCTCACCCTCCTACCTCCTCCATCTCGTCTCCCTCTACGACCAATCTCATTCTCCTACTTCTCCCATCTCGTCTCCCTCTACAATCTCACTCTCCCGCCTCTCCCATCTCGTCTCCCTCTACAATCTCACTCTTCTACCTCTCCCATCTCGTCTCCCTCTACAATCTCACCCTCCTACCTCTCCCATCTCGTCTCCCTCTACGACCAATCTCACCCTCCTACCTCAGCACCCACGAGCGCGGCAAGGAGAAGGAACGTCATCGTAATTCTTGTTCATCTTCAAACTGATGTTGTGCGAACAGCCCTTATATACCACGGTGCGACCTTCAGTAACAACTGCTCATGAAATTGCCGTTCAACGCAGTGCTTGTGGGAGTTTGTGCATCTGCTTTACAATGTAATTATGTAAAATTGCAATACATTCTCACAATGTTATAATTGCTTGTTGACATTAACAATATACACATTCTTTGCTTTAAAATAACTGTTGAAACAGATGTAACGTTTCACATCTTGTAATTTTCCATTCGAGATGACAGAACGGTAAACAAACCTATAATTGCAATATTTCTGAATTTTTTTTTACAACAAATATATTTAAAAAAAATTAACACGTAGGTTTTTTCATGCGGTATTATGATTCATAATTAACTGTTGGGTCAAACTACGTAATAATTTTGATCAAACATGTGCCGTGAAGACTCTCCGGAGCCAAACCAATTAATGGTTATGTGTACAAGCGTTTAACGCCCAAATTATTATTGTTTCAGTTCACTGGTGAGTTGAAGAACGATTCTCACAACCAATTGTCGTAATGAGATTTGACGTTTCATTTGAAACTGCGTCACACATCATCAGGGCGAGGTCGAGGAAGTCCGAATGACCACGTCATGACCTCACAGGAACAATCAACCGTTACAAGTTAATATTTTAAAGTGGTATTATAGAAATACATAATAAGTAAATAACTGGGATCACATGATAAATTAATCCAGTTAGCCATGGGTTATCCATGGGTATTGGGTGCCACTTAGCTTTCATCGTAATTCCTATCTGCAATTTATTTAGCAGATAATTTGAGTCACGTGGCCCCACTGGCCCGGTCCATAATCCAGCCTTGCTAGCGGAAAACCGACGCACTCAAACTCACGCATGCAAGTTAGCAACACTCATACAGATAGGACAGGTAATATTAGCCGGCAATTGGCTCTACCACTTTATGATAAGCCAGGGTATGGGAAGGGAGTTTTACAACATTTGTGTGATCCACCAACGCTCGCCTCCAAAGTGCTCCATTAAAGACATGTGCCACCACTGCACTTTCTTGGTTGTGTTTAAGACATCAGAATTGAAAAAAACAACACAACGTATGGGTCATCAAAGGGTTAGAAACCATTGATGAGAATCCTGGGTGTGCTTCTGGATTTGGCAAGCCGAGGAGATGGCATTTAGGGTTAGTGGGTTATGAAAGGAGGGGGGCATAACCCTCAGTTTGGACATGAAACCACCCACCTCAATCTCTCGATTGCAAAAGTAATTCCTATTATAAGTGAGGGGTTTACCAATTGGTGTTATCGGGGAGTGATATTTCGAGAAAGAAAAGTGACTATTCTACGCCTTTGCTATATTGTGAAGGTGCATGGGACATACATGGGAAAAGCATGATCGTCATGGAGACGGAGTGAGTAGACTGACACGTGCAGAAGCGACACGGATCGATGTGTCGCAGGACCGCATGTGATGGCGATGATTTGGCTTGACTTGTTGCTCTGGAGATCGGGAGATCTCTGATCGATGTTCGTCACCGGGGTTGCTGATGGCGCGATTTCTCACTTAACAGAGTGGGCCGCGTGAAGACTGCTGCCACCTTCCACTCCTATGGCGATGGTGGGGGGAGGCCTTCATGCAGGGGTGGATGGAACATGGATGATGATTGTCAGAGTTGTGAGAAACATTTAAATTGAAACAATTATTCAAATGTAATTTAATATATATCAATGAACTGAGTTCGCTCAAAATGTTATTTTACTGGAAACCCGAAAGGCTGTGTCACTGTGAAGCTATTTTTTTTCAACTGCCAGACGTCTTCGAACAGCGGTGTGGCCAAGCAAAATTACATTAATGCCTTTGGTCACAGTCGCGTTTGAGCAATGAGACACCGGGTACCCAGTGCCACTGCTTTGCAGCACGACATACAATAAATAATTTTAAAACGTATGACTACGATGAAAGGCACTTAGGCATGATATGTCTATATTCTACAAAAATGACATATAGGACATAAATAATGCAAGGTCCCAGAAATGTCCTGTATGGATTATAGATAAAATATGCTTAACCTTTGCATGGCAGGGACCTGTGAATTGTAATCATTGTGTTTTCGATGGAAAATATCGAAATAGCATGAATAAGAAATTGAGATAAGTAGCAAATTATTACCATCACATGGTTAAAGAGTGTTACAAATTTTTATTGTGACTGAAAAGTGGATCACTACCTATGTGGTGGTGTGATTTCGATACCTAACATGGTACTATATTAAAAGATAAAAGATAAAAAAAGGAAAATGTTGAGCAAAAGACAAAATATTATTCAGATGAAAAATATATTACTGAGAACAATTGAGTGAAAACGCTGCAAATAGGGAAACAGGGTGCAGATTGCAGCCCATAACAAACACTGTGGTCTTCAAATACGTGTTGTACTATGTTCAACTTCTTTCGCACTATACGTAGCCAACCGTGCTAATCGGAGGTGCATGTTGATGCACAACATCCATAATGTGTTGTTCTGAAGCACTGCATATACAGTGCAGCAATTGTTGTCAATCCAATGGCGAATGAGTGCCGCCCAATACCGCGGGTTGCGGGGTCATTGGACCATACTTCACCACGCTGGTCGGTGCGGGTTGGTGAAGGTGGGGAGCATAGACGTTGGAACATAGCACAGTAGAATAATTACTCTTACTACACTGCCTCGCAGGAGCCCATAACACCTGGTTTGTGCATGGTGGTGACTCATCTAAGCACTACCCAGGCTCAGAACTGATTAGCTGCCAAGAAATGACAAGATATAGCAGATTCTGGGTGATATGTTTATTTTGATCGTATACATAGGGTAGCAACTGTTGAAATGAAATACTCGATCTGGAGGTTGCAACAGATGGAGTGACCTGCTGTCGAAGTCAAAATAAAGTATCCTTATAGAAACCACAGCTGCTACTCGAATTAAAATCATTCTACAGTTGTCCCTAAACTAATTCCAAAGATGCTTTTTGTATTTAAGCATAAATGAGCCTCTAACCAGAGACTATTCGCTCTAGGAGTTTTTTTTCATGTGTGGGCACTTGTTAGAGAAAGCGAAACATTTCAGCACCATGGACAGTTCTATGAGCTATGCAATACCATGCATTGACATAAAGTGCAATGAATAATTTTGAAAATACAATGTAGGAGATTAAAAAAAAGTTTATTTAAAAATGTTTAAATAATTCTGAAAGACAGAGGGTTTGTTTTACAGATAAATGCTCAAACAAAGGTTGCATCAATATTGTATTACATTTCCATTGTTGTTCGTGTACAATAACAACATGAGCACACAGCTTCAACATACCACAGTAGTGGAGAGCCATGCGATACAGCTTTAAAACAACGAAGCACATCTTCAGTAATCACTTCGCACGGCGGCATTCTGACTTCTTCTCGTGAGTCAGCATTGAACGCCGACTCGTTTTGTTTAAATCCTGCGACATCCTCAAAACGCTTCCCCACCACACAGACAGACCTACAGGGTCGAGATCCCGTTCCTCTGTCCGTGAGCGTCGCAACTCCGATCGGGAGGCGAGATCTCATTCATGAAGGCAGCGTGCGGCACTTTGTGAATGAACCCGGCCAGCGCCGTGTGTTGATTGAACCGCACTACGTCTCAGCCGCTGAGTGGGTGGCTCGGGAACGTGACGACTACGCAGGAGCCCTGCTGGGGTCAAAGCGTGCTCCACAAAGGCACATTTGCAGGGATGGCTGGATAGACGCGATCACCCCTTAACAATTCTCTCATTCTTATTCCTGGCGCTCAGTGGCCCCAGATTTTTTTGTTTCCTGCAACCACCCCTCCCCTCCCCCCTGGTCCCCCTCCCCCAGATATCGAAGTCTCCCTTGGTCATTTGAATGTGCAAACCGAGTGGGGGGCTCTTTAGTCGCGCGCATCCCTGAAGCCCCTGAGTGCGGCGGCTCTCTTGTGTCGGGACGCGTGAGAATACCGGCAAAATAATCCCGTTGGAAAAAAATGCTGCCTCTGAGTCTCAACCTGAAACAATGCTTTAACGCCGGGTAAGTGAGCGCTATCCCGCATCCCCGCTTGAACGCACGCCTATTGTTGTCATTGTCATCATCATCGTCGTCGTGATTGTGTTTAAATGTCCATCGGGAACTGCAAGCCAGTTGAGCGCACTGGCCGTGCTGCCTGTAAAGCAGGCTTCGGGCCTAGTGACATACAGTCCAGGGCTGCACACAGGCACTGTCAGCATGAATCAGTGGCACGCTGTGTCTGTGTGTGTGCTCCCAGCTGTGTATCCAGGGCATACGCCTTGTACAACATTGCAATGCCACGTATTATTATTAATTATAATTATTATCTCACAGTGCATACGCCTTGGACAGCAATTCAATGCCACGTACTGTAGTATGATCTCGGTGCATACGCCTTGTACAACAATGCATTGCTACTTATAATATCACAGTGCATACGCCTTGTACAACAATTCAATGCCACGTATAATTTTCATCGTCTCAGGCGCATTTCCTTGATATCATTTTCACAATAAATGTGCCGGAGTTGTGTGCAGTGTATTTAAATGCGTGGGGAATGCATGAAAATGTTTAAACCATCTCTGTCACTGTGGCATTTGAATCATATTAATGCAAATTTCAGTGTTTTCGTGCGTTGATGTGCATGCAAATATATATTGTAAAAATTGATGGGACGGTGTGTTTTTTTGTTGCAACTTGCAGTCAATTTCAACTCACACAATGTAACAATCTGGGGCATTACAAAAAGCAATTGATGTTAACACGATTTAATGATTTGCATATTGTTCTGTAAATTATAAATATTGGCAAGAAATAGTACGAATTACATCAAATTGTTAGACACATAGTATATGTGTAGGGTTAATAAAATGTCTACACTCGATGTCTGCACAATAAAAATATTTCAAAAAATAGATAATACTGTAATGTTAAAAAGACTAACTGTCCTCAATATTTCACGTGAACATTAATGCACGCATACATACGGAGTTTTTGGTTATTTTAGATTGTAGATAATTGCTTCGGGAAATTGGGAGAAAGATAGGTGTTGACAAGTGTGGTGTGAACTGACTCAGTTATCAGAGTACATCTATAATGGGCGACTATGTATCTCTGCAAGAAATGGGTTTGATGATTGAGATAATTGCCCTTGCCAGATGGCAGACATGGTTATTTTAAGTATGTCACAAATTTCAGTTCAATCAATGTATTTTTTTGAAATGTTTTACGATGAAAAATATAAAAAATATCAACGTCCTGTATCGAAAAATTTAATATTAAAAAATTAACCAATTAACTGAATAAATAAATATAGTTACCAATCACACTGCAAAAGAGCAGGTCAAAACTGACCAATGAGAGTTAATGATTACGTGTAATTCTTGAACATTGCTTGCAACATGCATTCTATTGTAATTAAGAAACGCCTAAAGTTTGTCACTACATATATGCAGTGGCACGCAACATAATTTACAGTCCTTTTCATTCCACTGCTGGACGAAGGACTCCCCATGCCCTGTCAGTCACGTGGGTTGATCATCCATGCACCACACTGGTCAGCGTGGCTTGGTGCACGTGCAGGGCCCAGGGTCGTTTCAGATGTCACGTGTCACTGATGTTAGCCGTGGCCGGGAATTGAACTCCGGTCGCTACATTCACGGCGCACGGCGCTAACCACTGTGCTACTGCTCCCCCGTAGCAAATACATAAGTAGAGATGAGCTCTTCTGCGTGGTGTGCTAACTTTGATAAGGCACGTCAATGACACACGCCCAATACGTTGATGTGTGAGTGCAAGAGCTGCCCAGGCGGTGTGGAGCGATTATTCCCACAAACAATGAAAGGGGCCTCCGAACTTCACGAGTGACAACCGTCTCCACAGAGTCGGGAAGGAGACAGAGTTTCTGGCATTATTACAGTCCCCACACATGTTATTTTCATCCAATTACAAAACTTATTTTGGGATTAAGTTGATTAAATATGAAGGGATACTGCTTTTTGTGGGTTCTGGTTTAAGATTGGGGTTAGGGTTGGGGATAGTAGTACCTAAGCTTGCTTTTCTTGCCACAAATCTGCGGGAACAGTAGTCTCAAGACTTCTACTTGAGTTAGAACATAACCCATACTATTACAAATCACCAAATGTACTCGCTCTCCAAACTGAAAAAAAAACCTAACTCGTTTTCGATTCAGAATATAGCATACCGGGTGGGCTTAAACCACAACCGGCTGACCTGTTTGATTGAGGACTGGGCAAGAGGTTGAGGGATATCATAATCAGAGTGCCCAAGACATGAACGGTTAAACAACCTTCTTTTTAGACTGGTCATAGGAGACGGAGAAAGGAAGATGAGTCAGAAAATAAAATCAAACCACGAGTACATTTGCTATTCACATCATTCTTACAATGCAAGGATTTTACGAAGGCCCTGTGTTTCACAGGCAGGTATCGTCTATAGTGGTTTCACAACAGGATGCGATGTTGCGATATCGTTTTACCAAATTTGTAAATTTGCAAGTCATATTCAAATTTGGGCCATAAAACCGGCACAGATGGTCTACTCTCATTCTCATAACATCACGGGATCTTTACCGTCCACTCCGAAGCAGAAGGCATATACTCGCGTCAATACACCCACAGTATTGACCAGGGCGGATACTTTTCCGAACCATAAATGTCTGCAACAAACGGCAAACTTTCTGCTGCTTGACCCAAGACCCAAATTGCGATACCTGGAAGCTACCAAAAAAGTGGAGGTATTTCCCATGCAATGGCAAAAGGGCATTTTAGTTGCTAAATTCACAATGTGGCCATATAGCAAAGTAGTTGAACCATGCATGGCTTGGGCAGGTCGTGATTCAGAAGGTTGCCAATGCCTACCCGCATGGGTTTCACCCTCGATTTTTTGTGCCTTCTTGCAGGCAATGCCGTGGGAAATCGATGAGGTCCCTGCCAGTTCAATAGATGTAATCAGTATTATTGTGTTGGCGCAAGAAGGTTGCTTGTAGACCCACCCAGGCGGTGTGCATGCCTGCCACGGCCAATGCCTGGCCCCAACCCAAACAATATCACTAATGGTTGTCCACGTAGGCTGGTTAACACGCACGCAACTACTGTAACCGCGCTACGATTAAGTGTTATTGTTCTGGTCTCTTTCTCGGCAATACTTTCATAAAATTGAAAAGCTCCCCAATTCTTTTAAATGCGCTGAGGCATGCTTCCTGTAATCCTGAGTAAATTACTTTGGCTCTAACTTCCAAGCCACCGTGTATCAGTGGACTTTTACAGGCTGCATCAAATGACAGCGCATGCACACGCAGACAAACACACGCCGTTCTTTTGTCCACACACATACTAAGCAGCATCAACGAAAAAAGGTCAAGGTACAGCCCTGCAATTACCCACTCACGTCACTGCTGGCGGGAGGGCCTCCATGAAAGGGAGCTCGAGAGAGTCGCTCTAAAATATGAATTTTGGCTGATTCTTCCATGCTGACCGGACGTCTTTGAAGAGATGGGAATGGGCGTAGGCGTGGGGGTCTTAAGAAACTTTCACTGCTGTTTCAGCTGCTGCGCTGGCAGATCGAACCGACGACCTCTGGATTGAAAGTCCAACCCGCTGCTTACCATTTACATCGTGGCAGCGTCGAAAGCGGCATAGGCAAACAAAAACTGCACAACAAATGGCACGATACATGATAACATAATAAATAATGTATTTATCAAACACACCTCCTTCCCACATGTGTCTTTCTCTACATGTAAAATTAAAGTATAGTTGACACATCCCGTCAGCCGCACGGTTTTCTGGGAAGGCATCTTATCAGCAGCGCTGGTTCAACACACACAAACTCATGACCGGTTTCGACATTCAGTGTGCCATCAGCAGTCAGGCTTGCTTGAACCAGTGCTGGTGAACTGATAGTCTTAGTAATGGGCAACTACCTAGTTTGATGCAATACTATAACAAAACGGCAATGTAAAACAGACGAATCATCGAGCGTCGTCATGGAGAATTGTTAAGTTACAAAATAAAGAATGGCACTGTGGCCCACCTCTCCACAACCACTGCGAGATTGCTCGATGTAAATATAGCTTAGCGAATCTCTGGAGATGCGTTGGCAGACCAGCATCTCACGCAAACCTTACCCAGCGGAAATTACACGTGTCATCACCACCAGACCCAGACGGGAAATAGCAGGCGTATTCCAGCACTGTATTTGTTACACTGTACGGTTAAATATACCGTGGGTTGCAATGCACATGATGGTAGTCGTGATGGTAATCAGCCGTACGGTACTGTGATCCGGCACATTGAGGGATGGGCTATTACATGCTCACGGGGAAAGTATAAAACGGCTGTGGTTTCTAACAGTGAACCCAACTGATTTGTCCATGCAAGTGCAGCCAATTTTGTCTCTAAATGGCAGCGCCCCCTCGTGGCAGCGGAGAGAAATTTATATTTGGTTTATAATAATCAGGAGGATGGATGCAGGGGGGCACATTGGTTTATAATAACCAGGAGGATGGATACAGGGGGGCACATTTGTTTATAATAATCAGGAGGATGGATACAGGGGGGCACATTGGTTTATAATAATCAGGAGGATGGATACAGGGGGGCACATTGGTTTATAATAATCAGGAGGATGGATACAGGGGGGCACATTGGTTTATAATAATCAGGAGGATGGATACAGGGGGGCACATTGGTTTATAATAATCAGGAGGATGGATACAGGGGGGCACATTGGTTTATAATAATAAGGAGGATGGATACAGGGGGGCACATTGGTTTATAATAATCAGGAGGATGGGTACAGGGGGGCACATTGGTTTATACTAATCAGGAGGATGGATACAGGGGGGCACATTGGTTTATAATAATCAGGAGGATGGGTACAGGGGGGCACATTGGTTTATAATAATCAGGAGGATGGATAAAGGGGTGCACACAGAAAGGGTGCGACAGAAGTGGACAGACTCCTGTGCTGGTTTAAGATTTTGTCGCGAGCCGTGTGACGGATTCAGTGAACGAAAATATGTCAACTGCGACGATGAGGGGACAAAAAACATCACGTGTGATCAGTGCCGGATGAAGCTAGTGCGGGGCCTGTAGCATATGTTGTTTTAAAGGGGCCCTAAATAAAAAAAAAACACGTAAATATTAAAACACAAATTTTTCTACTTGCATAGTAAAGTAATTGTATTTTTTAATTTGCTATACAGCCAGATAATACAACAAATCGCTAACCTTAAACACCCAGTCGTTCGTAAAAGTTGAAGGCAGTGTAGTACTATAGTAATAGAGCAAGTGCAGAATCACTGAACCGGAATTGATAGCTTGAAATAATTTAGCGCTGGGCCCTTGAAAGTGCGGGGCCCGTAGCATGTGTAGCTACTTTTGCTACGAGGATAATCCGGCACTGCGTGTGATGACTACGACTTCCCACTAAGACAAAACGCGTGATTGACTGACGACATTTAGTAAAGTTTTCAGAGACCGCATTGCGTTGAGAATTTGAAAGTTGCGATGCGGTACAGTCTATGTACGTGAACATATATACCGAGTTCACTGATTGGCTGACCAGACACTGTTCGGGGCGAGGGGGAGATACCAGTAGTGAATAACTAAAGCGTGTTTCACTAAATATGTGACTGCTTCAGCCGACTAGACTAAGAACACGATGGCACGGACCCCACAGACTTTGACTCGACTAAAATTGCACAGATTGTCGCTGACTTACACAAAGACCGGACACTTTTTAAAAAATGCCGACTAAATTACCGCTACTTGCTAGCCCCACCATTGTCAACAGGTGTGTTTCCTCACTCATCACTGCGGGTGTCAGTGAGTCCGCACCAATGTAGGATGGCACTTGCACCCCCTCTCGCATCGTCTCTGAGCTCAGAGACGCCCCCCACAACAACAACAACAATCCACACTTGTTTTTGTAAAGCATTCCACTTTGTGGCGACCACACGCTGTATACGTCTACTGTAGGCGTTCCACATCCGACGTAAAAAAGGACGACATATCTCACGGGAAGACGAGTATCTCACAATACCAGCAAGGGGGGGGGGGGGGGGTTAATGCGTGAATGCATTGACTTGTGTGGTGTATTATTATGTAATTGAAAATAAATGGGACTTTTAATTTCTCGGGAAGACTGACAGATTTCTCAGGAAAGCAGCTGCCACAAATAAAAAGAGGACGATCTTAGAAAGCGAGGTCAGATGATGGCCCTGGTCCACTGTTGAGAGGAGTGCTCTTCTAGATGACTCCGCACTGACCTAGAGGATCCAATGGACATTACCCTATTGGTGGAAATATATGTTTTAAACCCAAGGAAACGTATTTTTCAACGTACTTTTTTTCGAGGGAACGTATGTTATATTGCACGCTGGAGTGACCTAAAGGATCCTGTGGGGTAAACGTTTGATGCATTTATTTCCAAATATATTAACAAACTGGCCAGAAAGCCGAACTGCATTTCAGTGACGAAGCACCATCACGTGACCTCCACGATCCTCACAAAAATTCCTCTTTGTGGAGGCATGGCGGTGAAAAGAGGCGCAGAGCAGATGGCACATTTAGTCTCTGAAGCACCCAGCGCTTGAACTAGCGGCTCTGAAGTGTTCGCTGAGAGCACTTGTTGGGAATCCGGGAAAATCTCTCAATTAAAACAACACACGCCACAAGGCTGCACTCTGCTTTGGGTTTTGTGTAACCAGAACTCGGAAGAGCCATGCACTTGTTTCTGGTTGCTCAGTTTGGCTGTACATTTTGCTTCAATCTCAATTCTCGTGAGAGTGAATTTCGATACTAGAAAAAGGCGCAGCCCTGAAAATGCCTGCTCATGCCACTGCTGCCGGAAGGGCCTCCACTACAGGGAACTCTACAGCCATTCGAGAAGATATTTTGCGTACGGGGAGAGTACTCACGCTTTGCCCCACCGCTCGTGAACTCCCGGTCGACTCGCTGTGATGTATCCATTCATACTTCTGGGTGGATCGAGGCGGGGGTGGATTTAAGAAATGTGCCGATTGTTCCAACTACCGTGCCGGAATTCTGATGCGCCGCCAAGACACGCGCGCCCACGCAAAGGCGCAAACGTTGCATCTGTGTTAAATAAATGATGCCAGATAATAATAATAGTCCGGAAATGTCACCCCCCACCACTGTTTAGGAGATTTCAGCAGCAGATCGAGAGCTACAAGGAGCAGATCAAGAAGATTGGCGACGATGGCAAGAAGCAGCTGGGGACCATCGAGCAGAAGGATGAGGCCCCAACCTGTGGCATCTGCCACAAGACCAAATTTGCCGAGGGCTGCGGCAACGTTTGCTCCTACTGCCAAACGCGCTTCTGTGCACGCTGCGGTTTCCGATTCGCTCTGCGGCCCGGCACGGTCAGTCAATCCCTCTTTCTCCAACACCTCCTCTTTCCCCAACACCTCCTCTTTCCCCACATCGTTAATCATCGTCCGCCAATTATCTATCCATTGCCGGATGCAGGCCTCCCCCAAGTCGTCGCCATCTCTCACGATCGTGCGACGTGACAGTCCATCTAGCACGTGCACACGAGCTGAATTCGTCACTCCATGTACATAGTGGACGTACTAACGAGCACGCTCACGCCTTTGGCCGCCATTCCGATATTCGTCTTGACCACCATCCATCATTCCGTCCAGTGATGCGTCCTGCCCACGACCACTTACTTTACTTCGCAGTCAATACGTTGTCTCTATTTTTTGCATGTTCTCCCCACACCATGCCACGGCCAAATTCTTTAGAACTGCTTTTTATGTTGAGTTTGTTGTCCCTTCACCCACACCGCCAATGATCATGGTTGGCTATGTACGGTGCAAAAAAAGTTCAACTGAAATACATACATAAAATGCACCTCTTAAAATATCAAACAAATCACGAGTTATTTCTTGCATGATCACTTTAGTGCCCACTCAATAAGGAATCTCTTTTAAAATTGATGAATGGACTAAAAATCTGCTTTGGTACCTTTACGAAACATTTTTTTTTGTTATGATTTTGTGAATGTGAAATTCAAATACTGTAAATGTTAGAGCTTTGTGACCTTGATTAATATTCTAAATATTAAAACATTTGGTTGCAGTGGATTGTGTTTATATCAATGACAATAATGCTGTTGGTGGTGAATCTTTGATCTTATCAACATCATCGTCAGCCTTGACCTGTCTTCTGCTGGGTGAAGTCCTCTCTAAGCGGTCACCATTCCCCATCATCTGGTGATGCAAAAATCCACATAGCACCTGCATACAAGACACTTTCATCGCTCCATCTGTGGTAGACATCCTCTTGTGCCCCTTCCTTCGGCTTCCACTCTGTCTCTAGTCTCGACCAGTAGCCATCAATCTTTCGAATAAATCGTCATGTCGATGCCCATTTACTTTTCTTAACTGTGAAGATGCTGCATCTCACTTGCGTAATCCGCGTGTGTTTTTCCTGTCAGCCTAATTACAAGCGTGCATCTCTCCATGTGCCCATGCACCACCTTGAGCTTGTGTTCCAAGTCATGTGTTAGATGTCCACGTTTCCGATGATATGTCATAGCAGGTGATGTTCATGGACCTATTTACTAAATGTTTACACAGGAAATATCACAATCGTGCAATTATGACTCAATCTTTCATCAATTAAAAAAATCAGTTATAAATCTACCATAGCGGCTGTCAAACATGTCATATAATCGTGAAACAGATGCCCGCAACAAAGTACTGTGGGTAAAAACACAATTATGAACCTGTGAAATTGATCAAAATCCAATGAAATTCCTCTTGTATACGTAAGAAATCCTCGGCATTGTGAAGTTCAGCGAATCACGAACTCAGCCCCGTGACACGTGCGTTCAGCTCCGTGACACGTGCGTTCAGCCTCGTGACACGTGCGTTCAGCCCCGTGACACGTGCGTTCAGCCCCGTGAGACGCGTGTGCTCAGCTCGTGTCCGTGAGCGACTCTCCCTGTGTTCTTGACGTGTCCTCACCTTCGCTGTCATCTTTTATTTAGACTCACGTGAAGGTAGGAACTGTGAGCAGCGGTGCTACATGTAGAATCACATCATTTACTCATCTTCCTGCCAACACATTAAAGGCATAAAAACATCAGACGGAAAAATTCGACTCAGAGCTTTGCCAGCCAAATTATGTTTTTGCCGTCATTCCCCAACTGCTTGACGATATTCAGTAACGCACTGCGCTGCCCTCCGATGCATTATGCACATTTGAAATTGCAGACGGAAGTAATTGATTGTTTCCCTGCGTATTTTCTGCTTAAAAACGTCCAGTGCCTGAAGTACCAGAATGGCGACCCCTTCCACCCTTTTTTCCCCATCGCTGTCGCCGGTAACCCGAAGTCGATTCGTACAAAATGGTGCTGCTGCTGCTGCGGTGGGATTTCATTGGGGCACGATCAGCAGAAACGACACGACCGGGCGTGCGCCTACGCGCCAATCCCAAGTGATTCATGCTCTCGTCTGCTGGCGTCGGAAGCGAGATGATTCAACGCCGCGTACGAAGCCTCCCTCTTTGTGTTTGTCATCGTCGTCGTTGCTTGCGGCCGCCCGCCCTCGTGGCCACGCACCGCGCGTGGCATGCGCCCAAATCAAAGGCGCTCCGGGCCGCGAGGCGTCTCGGTGCCAACTTCGCGCTGCCTGCGCTCTGTCCAGCGGTGGTGTGGAGGCTTCATTGGGAGCCGCCCAACACTCCGCTGGTCAATGTGTACAACGCTAGCGAGAAGATGACCGAAGAGGAGATGTAAATTAGAGATAGAGAGAGAGATGTAAGGCGATGAATTAAATGTAGACATAATTTGAGGTGTAGTGAAGACATTAGCTGGTTGAGTTAATTAGGATTTGAATATAGTATCCTGATACTTATTAAAATAATAGGTGCAGACCTATTATTTTAATGAATCTGGGGCTGCGTGTGCTACTTGGGGCCCTGCGCTCTTGTCTGGTTCGCGTCTAGCACCGCCACTGCCTTGTACCTTGCAGAACATTAATAGCCAATTTCACGACGATGTCCCTGCAGCCACAGTAAAGCCTCAAGTAAAGCCGACGCGTTCAGTTCAGAGTGAAGTTGTTGGTTTTTACCCTGGGGGTGAAATTTGCTTGCAGCAGCAGCACGCACCCTTGTGTGACATTTAAGGTCTCTCCCGTAATGAAGCACGTTATGAAAAAACAAATTATATGCATCGTTGGTAAAGTTTAAATACTACGATCCACGATGTGGTTTGTGTGTGTCTGGGCGTCAGTGCTTTGTAGCGATAATCAAGTTAATAAGGGCGGAGATATAATGCGTAACATGTAGAATGCAGAGTTATTTTTCGGCTACGTGTGTTATATACATAGATTTTCGTTAACTGCTCGGTGAAAGCCATGTTACGTATGGGGGTTGTTTGACCATACTTCACCACGCCGGTCAGTAGGGGGTAGCGAATGGTGTGGCGGTTGGGGGGCTTCGGGGGACAGATCAGGGCACCCAGCACCGCCACTGATGTTCGCCACCGCTGGGAATCGAACTTATGCCGCCACCGCATGGAGGTCTAGCTCCACATTCCGTCTGCCGTGACAGAGGGAGAGAACGGCGGAGCGAGGCCCTGTGGGTGCTGCGTTCTGAGCTGAACGTGTTGCGTTCGTGTCAGAACGGGCTCTCACCTGGGTTGATGAACTAAATCCACGGCGACAAGCTATGCAGAGATAACGAGGAGACACTGGGGCAGATTTTTGTGGTCAACAACAAAATGTGCAAATGACTGCGATGGTCATTTGCCTATTTCGAGTTCAACAACGAAACGTGAGCGTGCGTTGAGTCTCCACTGTGTTGATGGCGGACCTCGGTTGCCTGCTGCTGCAATTTGTGGTGTCTCCATTGCGCTTTCTGGTTACGCCGCGCTTTGCTTGAAGCAAAATGTCCCGACGTTTCGCTCCATATGCTGGAGCGTTTTCAGAAACTGATTGTGAAGCGGTTTCACTTGGTTTGAGTTTCATTCGTAATAAACAATAAAATTGTCACCAAAAGATGTGTCACCAGATTCATAGGTCACGTGAAACTAGCCGTGTGACAAGCGGCGGACATCGACACATCATAAATGGTGGACATCATGATGTCTGGAGTTCGCTCTGCGTGCTGGGAGCTTTTTCAGGAAGTGAATACCGAACATCGCGTTCCTGAAGCTCCCAGCACGTGGAGCAAAAACATCGAGACATCCATACTCTTTGGTTCCTTCGGTAAAGTTACGTAGATGAAAATTTTAAATAATAAAAAAATAAAACACTCACTAAAGTGATTTTGCTGTGGCTGTTCCACCTGATGACGGAAGCTTGTGTTGCCTCCGAAACGTCGTGATTTAATTTAGTTATTTTCATATTTTTTTTCATCTACGTGACTTTACCGAAAGAACCAAAGAGCATCGAGAGATCGTGCCAAACACCACGCGGTGCAACCGAAAACACCTTGCAGCTCTAAACGGCACAACTGGTGAAAACCGAGAGCAACCCGGTCATGGTCTTTCTCCACGCTGGGCTCAAAGTCTCGTTTGGAATGTTAGCAGGTAATGTGGCTCTGCACACGGTGCCGGAAGCAGCAGGACCTCCTGGTCAAGTCGGGGACCCTGTTCCACAACCAGCAGCCTCTGGGCCGCCTGGACGGCCTCCTGGTCGGCAGGGGTCCCGAGGCGCAGCCGGGGCTACGCGCCGGGCTGACGGAGCGGTCGCAGTCGCAGTACCAGCTGAGCGCGCGGGACAAGGAGCGCGTCGTGCTCGAGCCCCAGCAGCCGGACAACCGCGACGCCGCCTGCACGGCGCTCAACAACAACGGCGGCGGTGGCGGTGGCGACGGTGGCGCGCCGCAGCTGCGGACGAGGAACGACCCCGTGGCAGACAGGTGCGGCACGTCGCTTCTTACTTCTTCACCACAACAGGGGTCAAGGTCTCCTGCTCGTGTGAGCGTGTGATTGGTGATTATCTCCACGATAAAGTTTCGTCGTTGGTTTAGATTGCGTACATTTGAATGCGTCGTTAAACTTGCGATCGAGCAAAAACACCTTTATTATGGATAATATTGGTTAGGAAAGCCTACTTGTTAAAAGTGATTATCTCCTTTAATGACATAGCTATCACGTGTGGCAGAAAGTGCAGCTGCACCAGGGCAGGCCCACCAGCTGGACAAGACCATTGGCACTCCCAATGCAATGATGATATGAAATGAGACGTCTCGTACCATCGTCTTTCGGGAGGGTCAGTGGCATATCTTTCCTTGAACGAGGGCTCGTGCCCTATACCACCCTACGCCACTGCCTTTCATAGCCCTGAACCAGAAGTGGAAGGTTCCCATTTCCTCCGCCGCAAAGTGGCACTAATTGTATTGACCCAATCTGGAAAGTAGAAAGCACTCCTGAGATAATAATAACAAACACAAATTATAAAGCGAGCACATTGCACGAATCGGATGCATTGTTTCATCGATATGCGGGATAATCGACGGCTTTGGTGGTATCGATGGCTTTGGCCATGATGACATCTTGATCTTGAATATGGATGACAAAAGACGGTTCCCAGTCCATCCCCTGCTCTGGGATTTGAACTTGTGATCCTTCGATGTACGATGCGAGCGATCGAAACACAGCGCCACCGTTGTCGGCACACCGCTTCACAATCAAACAAGAACACAACCCCCCACCCCCCCACCCCACCCCCACACAAAAAACCCGGAGGCTTCGCACTTGCTCAATATTTCATCGCACTCCGAAAAGGTGTGGAGCAGAGAGTTGCTGTACGTGGTCGTTACCGTGGCGCACGGTGTTGCGGCCCCGCTTGATGAGATCTGGGACCCGCGCACGAGAGACTCACGCCCTAACCAGCGTCCAGGAGTCATAAAATTGCAATCCTCGCCGGCCGCAGCATACCAACGAGCAAGCTAGCCGCTCGCCGGGAGAGGTGGCTGCCTTCAAAGTTTCGCCACGGGCAGGACAAATGGAGCTTCCAGACTTGCTCCTCTCTGCTGCTGCTCCTCTCCGCTGCTGCCTGTGATGCTGCTGCTGCTGCCTGTGTTGCTGCTGCTGCTTGTGCTGCCTGTGCTGCTGCTGCCTGTGCTGCTGCTTGTGCTGCTGTTGATGCCTGTGTTGTTGCTGCTGCTTGTGCTGCTTGTGCTGCTGCTGCCTGTGCTGCTGCTGCTGCTGCTTGTGCTGCTGCTGCCTGTGCTGCTGCTGCCTGTGCTGCCTGTGCTGCTGCTGCCTGTGCTGCTGCTGCTGCCTGTGCTGCTTGTGCTGCTGCTTGTGCTGCTTGTGCTGCTGCTGCCTGTGCTGCTGCTTGTGCTGCTGCTGCCTGTGCTGCTTGTGCTGCTGCTTGTGCTGCTGCTTGTGCTGCTGCTGTCGTGCCTGTAATTCGTTATGCTCTGCCAAGGCGCCAAGCAAAATGTCCCAGCAGAGGTCGGTTTAATGAGCGCTTGCGCCTTAATTTAAAAGACTGCTTTTGGTACCTTGTTCAAAGCCGGCGTAAAGTGTTATCATGCAGAGATGTGCAAGTAACTGTGAGCTGTGCCGCCAAACATTTGCGGTCGACGACAAAGTGATGTAATGGCTATCGGCTTCGCGTTTTTCTTTTGGTAGATATTGTTTTCTCTTTACATGGTATTTATTTTTTGCTTTGCTGTTTGTTTTACCGGATGTCTGAAATATTGACTCGGTATCGTTTTAAATTCCCAGTGCAGGCAGCGAGATCACGGCAGGCAGCAAACAGACGAGGCATTCCCCCCCCCCCAGCCCTTAGGCCGACAGCTCTTGTCAAAGCTCGCCCTTTACCGTCGACAAAACCCATTCCCTCACAATGCAAAATGTGTAAACATATACAATGCCATACGTACAGTGCAAGTATTATTTTCACCTTTGATTTTTTTTTGCTTGAACGATGGGGGAGGGGGGGGGGGAACAAGCGGGGAAGAAAATCTGAATTGTCTAAAATAAAATGACTACTGTGGTGGTGGTGGTGTTGATATGTCTTTGGTTCCCCCCTGCACCCCCCCCCCCACTGCCCCTTCGCCCATGTAAAGACGAAGGCCGGTGTCTGCGGGGGAGCTGGGATTGCGAGGGCTGGAGCAGCGAGAGGCTCGCAACAATCTGCGGCAGGCGGCTGTCGTCGGCCATCCCTCATCGCAGCCGACCGCGGGGAATGTGGAGGGCCCCCGGGCACGGGGGGACGCGCCAGACGGCCGCTGCGTCGACTCGAATCCGCGAGACAAAGAGGCGACGCGGCTGCGGGAGCCGCAGCCCCAGCAACCACCGCAGCCGCAGCAGCAGCAGCCGCAGCAGCAGCGGCGGCGGTGCGAGGAGGAGAGGGCCACGCGCATCGAGGCACCGCAGGAGGTGCGTGCGCCATTCTTCTTGCGACTACAACGGCGGCGTGGCAACATGCTGATAGCGCGGTCCGCGCACGGCGCGATATTCAGCGCATGTTTAATTCATTTCTCTCCCTCGCTCTCTCTCTCTCTCCCTCTCTCTCGCCTGCTGAAAAATGAACTAATAAGAATGTTACACTATTAGAATACTCTTTTCTATTTATATTCGAAAGTAATTTATTTATTTTTAAATCATGCCACGCCTGCTAATCTATGCATTAACAGTTATTTTGGTCAATTTATTTTGTTCATAATAATGCTGACGTTTAAATTATTTTATATCCGTACCCTGCTCATTAGCCTGCCCACCTCCTCCTTGGCGCCACCCCCACTACCGCCAGTAGAACAGCAATGGAAGTAACATAGCCGATGCGTTCTTTGCACTACCAGGACTGGAAACGAAAGGATGCCCTGAGACATCAGCAGCAGCAGCAGCCGCAGGAGCCGCAGCCAGAAGCCGTCTACCGGCACGACCCCGGCAATGTTCACTTCCCTCCGGTGAGACTGCGGGCAGAGGAGGCTGGATTAAGGCACTCACCCATGGATTCTGCTCGATCCCGAAACAAGCACCGCTTCAGCGACCCGACGCCGCCGCCGCCGCACGGGGAGGCCCCGGAGGACCCTCGGCAGCCCCCGCAAGGCGACCGGCGCGACGTCTACGCCCGGCAGCAGGCGGCCGCCGACTACCGCGGCCGACGCTCCTACTCGGAGGAGAGGATCGAGCACCCGCTCTCGGCTCGCGGCAACCCGGCCCCCTTCAGAAACCCCAACCGCGGCAACCCTTCGACGGACCGGCAGAACCCGGGCGCCGCGGAGAGGGCGCCGGCGAGGGCGTCGGACGCGCGGGGGGCCCAGCAGGGCCACCCGGAGGGCGGCCCCCGCAAGGGCAAGCGGGGCAAGCCGGAGAGCGTCCTCCGCAACGACTCTCTCAGCTCCGACCAGTCCGAGTCCATGAGGCCCCCGCCGCCGCAGCCCAAGCCGCACCGCGCCAGGAAGGGGGGGCGCCGGCGGCAGAAGTCGGTGAGCAGCTCGGAGGAAGAGCTGGCGTCCACGCCCGAGTACAGCAGCTGTGAGGACGCGGAGGTCGAGAGCGAAGGCTTCGGCGACAGAGGTGGGGGCCACCCTTCATCTGCGTGTGTTTTTTTTCATTTGCCGTTGAGATTTGTTTTGATTTCGTCGGGGCTCGATTCGGCACGTCTCGTGCGGTTTGAGAGGGCGCCGTGATTCTAAGGCGATTTCACTTTCTGATGTCGGCGCTTTTTTTCGCCGCTACTCGGCGACTGCGAGCGCTGACGCGTCGACTCAAGTTTGCTACGCGAGCGCGAGCGGAGCGTTGTTGTGGTGTTCGCACCCGAGAGAGGGTGTGTGTGGCTGGCACGGAAGAAGGGATACTTCTGGTCGAGTGGATTGATAAAGCGTTTGCGTGCGAGGTGGAAGAGCGAGGGACGCGACCTGAATTGGGTCACTTCGTTTTACAAACACGTGATCCGAAGTGCGGCTGAAGGGTACGGGGTTAAGGAGGCGACGGCAGATTTGTCGCAGTGCTTCCGATGGAGGTGTTGCAAGAGATCCGTTTGAAGCCCGCTCGTACATCGGCAGGCGACGAACTAAACGCCGCGTGACAGAGTATGCGACATTCGGCATCTTGAGCGAGCAAGCGCTGTGGGAATAATTTGCGTCGTCGGCAAACTGGATAATTATGAGCATGCGGATGTTGAATACGCGGTGATATTTATCGTAATGCATTATACACTGCTGCCAAGTTAAATCCATTACATTATACAAGATGGTTGTTTATTAGTGCTCAATTGATTAAATGTTTTGGGCTATTAGGTTTGTCAGCTGTAAAGGACACGCGCTGGTTACACTATAGCAAACTGCAAACAATCTGCACAGTGCAGATTCATTTAAAACTTACAGCAATTACCACGAGCATTAATAATGCAAATAATGAGTCGTGTCAGAGCGGCGGAGTGGCGCCGTTCACGTGGCCCGCCGGCCTGTGCCTCGCAACTCACGGCCAAGTCTTCGGGTTGCATTGTCAGAAAGCAACCGTCCCATGGGACCAATTTTGCCGGTATCAAAGTATGAAAAATAAGAATAGGTTGCACTCTTGCAGGCAATACAACAGGTGTTAAGATGTTCAAACACCAAATAGATACATTTCGCAAGGAATCAAGCCTGCATTTGCCACACGTACTTCCCCGAGCTAGAAATGCTCTGACACGTGCATTGTCCTTGTACTGTTCGTCTGACACTGGCGAGACGAGGCCATAACGAAGGCTCCTGACTCTGGTGTAGGGCATTCAGTTTCAGAGACAATGCAGAGATTGTCAGAGCATGTTTGTTTGCATGTTCACCACAAATAGGTATTGTCAGAAAGGGTAAAACCTATTCTTATGTGTCATACTAAGCTCCTGTCCGTCACGAGCGTTCAACTGGTGAGGCCTATATCATCCGGAAGGTGGTTTAGGCCACACCAGTTTAACGCATACTACCCGATTGTTAATCCACTGCTGGATGAGGGCCTCCCCACACCTGCGAAAGGTCGTGGGGGTTGTTTGACCGTGCTTCAGCACGCTGGTCAGTGCGGGTCGGTGAAGGTGGAGAGCGTAGGAGTACAGTACAACGATGGTATTGCTTCCCACCACGTAGTACAGGCCCCCCAGCAGCCCACTGAAAATCTGTGTGTGAGGAGTGGTCACCCATCCAAGCACTATCCAGCCTCAACCTTGCTTAGCTTCTGCCAAAATCAGTGCGGAGGTCTCTTTAAGACCAGAGAATGTGTTTGAAAGTGCTTCACGGAGCATGGCAAAAACCCTCAGAGAGGTCGATTGGCATGACTCGAATGGGATGTCTATTGAGCTCGTTAAATGTTGCGATGTTGGATCACAACTTCATTCCAACAAGAGGCAGCCAAAGCAGGTTTTATTTCCACGCTGAGCGAGTGACACCTTTTGTTAACGGTACAAGTGCAGTTCTGCAATTGCCTGCTCATGCCGCTGCTGATGAAAGGGTCTGCACTAGAGGGAGCTCTCGTTGACTCCCTAGAGGGTATTTGCCTCCGCTTTCACGCTCGCCAGACATTCTGGAAGAGGTAAGACTACCCACCTTTCACTCAAATGTGACCGAACCCATCGACTAACTGTGCTGTACCAATCTATATTGCTTGGTGGACAGAAGTGGAATAGCAATAAAACAAACTTGCCCCATTATTTCAAATCCCTAGCGATGAGATTTACCTCTGGATTTCCAGCCAACATTGCCCGTGCCATGTTATCATCACGAATGCACCCCATACCGAGTGGGACCGCTATGTGGTCCCACCGTTGAGTACGGAGAGTTTCATATTGAGTTCCTGAAGAAGCTCCCAGCACGCGGAAATAAACGTCGGACATCGTAGTCGGACGACACGCGGCGGTACGAGCAGCAAACACGTGGCAGAGCCGCACGGCGCAAGCGGGAACATCTCCACGCCGGGGCGTCACGCCTTCCCGGACCTTCCCAGGCCCTCCGCGAGCTCTTCTCGACCCGGTGTCCCCGAGGTCGATTGTGAGAGGCCATCAAAGCCGGCGTAGCTGCCTCTGGGGGGGGGGGGGGGGGGGGGGGAAATCACATCACGTGCTCGTGCGCCCAGCTGCACACGCTCTTGCGAGACAGGCGGCACGAGTCTCCCTGTCACGTGCACGCTGTCATCTCGTTCATTGTTCCCGATTCGATTCAAGAGCCGATTATTTTGTCTCATTTAGACCGTCTTGTTTGTGTTACGTCTCACAGCTCCTCTTGTTGTTGTGCCTGCTACTGTCCCTGCAGAGTTGTAATCCCATCATAGATCAGAATTTCATCAAATCACAGGGCTTCCTTGTGTTTCAGTTCATGAATATTAAGGGTTGCCTCATCTTTAGCTTTTGTGCAGAGAGAATGTGTTCGGTTCGGGTTTATGAGTTAGGGACAGGATTATGGATTATGGTTCTGGTTTAGGGTTTAGGGGTTAATGATAGGGTTAGAGCCAGGATTATGGGTTAGAGAGAGAGATTAGAGTTCATAATTAGATTTCATGGGGTAATGTTTACGGATAGCGGGTTGTAGTTTAGCGGTTAGGGAGAAGGTTCAGGTTAGGGGCAGGAACAGCAGTAGGAAAGTGTATGAAATTGTGAAAGTAATAATCAGATTCATGCTATGAATCAATGCACCATTGCATGCCGTTTGCTCAGGTTATGTCCCATGCCACAGTTATGTTGGAGAATAATACGTGATCTTAGTTTCTGTAAGATATATATACATACCACTTGGTGTACAGCTGTTGGGGCACTTCACTTTGAACCTGGCTATGTGAATTTGATTCCCATTCACGGCGAACATCAGCGGTGAGTGATTCCCGGTCACGGCTAACATCAGTGGTGAGTGATATCCGCACCGTCCCTGGTCACACGCTTCTGAGACTCCCTCCTCGCCCCCTTCACTAACCTGCACTGACCAGTGTGGTGAAGTCTCGTTAAATGACCTCCGCAACAAACGTAGCACGCGGGGAGGGGCATTCATCCAGCAGTGAATTCACACATTTCTATACAAAAACACTATACAAGGTTTTCTTCATAGTTTAGTATTAAAAACGAAGGACTGGTTATTTAGGCAAATAGCCATGTCAACAAACTTTTGTGCGCATGTATCATTTTCACTCGTATGAAAGACCTTTTGTCCTGGCAAACTTCGGCTGGAAATTATAATTTAATGCATATTAAATATATACGGCAGGTTTACAGCCACGGGAGGAAGTCCATCAAATATGTAATACTGTATACCAAATTACACGCCAGCCATGTGTACACCCACCTTGACGTACAAGCCAGCCCACGCTGCTCACTAACAAGCAGTGCAAATACCTGGTGCATAAAATATATGAATTTCAATCAGTGATATTTTATTCATTTGGACATGTATATATTTTTTCCTTGAAAGATTCATGCTGACAACAGTCACTAATTTTTTGTTCAGTGGTAATACATGCATTTGTTGACCATCGCCCTGATGCATATAATAATAAAGTGGTAGTGTACACCCATATATAACTGCATTTGATGTTCCCGCTAAAGGCTAATTTTGTACAGCGCACGGCATCAGATGGTACTGAAGACAAAGCACACAAACCATGAACGTTTGCAACTTGCATCTTGAACTGAGATTCTACGTTTTAATGGCAGCTAAATTATTTCGATTTATAGTTGATTGTTGGGTTCGACCACAATGATCTGACCAAATCTACGTCGTAAGACCCTCCACCACCCGACACAGCCAAACGAATTAATTCGTCACGTGGACAAACCTTTATGTCGCCAAGTATTACTTAACAAATATTTTTTTGTCGGCGGTGTTTTACGCGCACCGCTCGCGTAGAGTGAAAACTACAACGTGGACGTGTCCGAAAGGTCGCCAAAAAATTATCCTCGTATCTGGCTTCACTTTACCCGTTTCATGTAAACGAGGCGACATTTGTTGGGCTGCCACTGGGGGACCCCCAATCACGCAGCTTGGCCCCCCAACGATGGCTCGATGCCAAATCACAAATGGGGAGAAATGACCGCTGTGAATGCACGCGCTTGGCACATTCTGTCTGTGCGGACGGGAGCTAAGGGTACGGTCGTGGTTGTCACCCCCTCGGCGCTATCTCTCAAATAAATGCCTCGTGTCATCTTACAGGTAGGCAAATAGAATGGCCCTTCCTCTCCGGCCGGGGGAAAGTATAGCCAAGCAGCAGCAGCGGCAAATTGGTATCCACTGCCGCCGTTACGCCGCGTGGACAATTGTCCGCACCTCGATCGGTGGAAACTCTCATTGCGGGTGCTAATGGCAGCGTCAACGTATGCGACATTCATTATAGGACGGGTTTTTACTCCAGCTGGGATATCTAATTATTTAAGTCATTGACTACTCAACAGATGATTGATTGGATCACTGGACGAATGGGATAACCAGAATATAATTGGGAAGGAAAAAATGAAACTCTCCCCTCTGTTTCCACGCGTGCCGCTTGACGGAAGGTGATGGGCATGGTTTGGGGATGGCATCAGCATTCAGCGTGTAACGTCGGGCGTGCCTTGTCGGGGGTCTCCT